GTTAATCGTAACTGCTGAAGAAGCTGTGTCAGCAGAATGCAAGGCTTTATTTGCAACAACGAGTCCCATGCCGTGATCTGTCCCACCTGGCGTGAGGCTCCGGCCACCTTTTGCACTGGTGCGCATGCGCAGGAGCCGTAGACGGACCAGGGGTTGCCTCGCCTGCCTGCGCTTGGACTCAGGGCGGCAGCCCATTTTCAGGGAGGGACTTTGCTCTGCTACACTTCAGTATGTTTCCTTCTCTTTAGCTTCACTTTTTTCCTTCCTGTTAGAGGAAAAGAGACTCTTTGCTGTTCCCAGAGTAACCCTGTGCCACCCTTGATCTGATGAAGACGGTGGCGATGTCCGGTTTCTGCACAGTTTGCTTTTGTCTCACACTCATGTTATGTGGGGCACTCCACGTGGATCTGCGATCGTCCTAACACAGGCTAGCTCCAGGTCCCCTCTGGGCTTCTGCCGAGTGGCGTGGACGTGGCCGGCCCGTGTTCTGGCCGCTCTTCTGCAGCCTGGGCAGGCCGAGGTCTGGATGTGGAATGCCGTCAGCTGGTGCTGTGCGCAATCCTGTTTTGCAGATCTCCTCTCTGGGTTTTGTTCCTAGTTTTATTGTATTTCTCACACAGGCGTTAACTCCTTCCGGTCACAGGGCTTCACGTTTTCTGTTGCATTGGTGGCAGGTTGTTTTCCCCAGTGGAGAGAGTCTTATGTCCCTTACTTCTGACCAGGACACTTGACACCAGGTGTTTGCCCCTCTCTGCTGTCCCCCCTCCCCTGACAGCAGCCACCGCCTCACCTGGCAGCCAGAAGAGGCAGGTCAGAGTAGACACTGAAGTATTTCCACGTGACTGGTTTCAGTGAGCCTTTGCCACCCCTAGCTCTGCCTGTCATCTTGGTTGTCTTGTCTTGTCTCTTGTCCTGTCGGGTGAGGGAGCGATTCCCAACCAGGGTCCTGAGGGTGGCTGAACACACAGCCCCCGACACTGGGCAGATGGGATGGACGGCAGGTTATTGGGGAGGAGGACCCTGCATGCCATGCGGTGTCACTGTGCAGTGCTCCTGGGAACAGAGTGAATGGCCAGGGCTGCAGGCTCAGTATGGAGAGGGTGGGGTGTCCTCTGGTCCCCATAGGAGGTTGCGAGTGGTTCTTTGAATAATCCCATGGCTGGCAGGGAACTGAAGCCCACTGCCCAGGGAGAAGCAAGAACGGTCCCCTGGATAAGGCGGGTTGTGTGGCTGGAGGACCTCCCCTGCAGGACCGGAGTGAGAACTTGCCATCGGGCCACCTGGTCGTGCCAGGTGCCAAGGCAGCACAGAACGCTAAGCCCGTTTGAGGTCTCCCACCACACACGCCCTCCCATGCCTAGCTGGGGTCACTCACTGGTCAGGGCTTAAAAATTTCTTTTCTTTTTTCATCCTCATGTTTCATCTTTTACCTTCTTCCAAACTAGAAAAAACAAAATGGTGGGATATTTTTGTTGTTGTTAGATTTTCTCCCCCCTCAGTATGATATCAGAGCAGTGCGACTTCTGCTTCAGAAGGGTTTGTTGTATCCTGTTGTCTGTGAGTAGGTTTTCCATCTAGACTACCGACTTTGTATCAGGGGAGCATAGGCCTATAAAGTGTGGAAAATATGTGCCTTTTCCAGATCTGACCATCTGAAGCACATGACAGTGTAGATAATTTTATATATATTTATGTATGTGTGTGTGTGTAGAGGTAGGTTAGACAAGTGCTGATCTTTGAACATTTATAAACTGAATTTTTGGCTGGGCGTGGTGGCTCACGCCTATAATCCTAGCACTCTGGGAGGCCGAGGCGGGCAGATTGCTTGAGGTCAGGAGTTTGAAACCAGCCTGAGCAAGAGCGAGACCCCGTCTCTACTATAAATAGAAAGAAATTAATTGGCCAACTAATATATATAGAAAGAAAAATTAGCCAGGCATGGTGGCACATGCCTGTAGTCCCAGCTACTTGGGAGGCTGAGGCAGGAGGATTGCTTGAGTCCAGGAGTTTGAGGTTGCTGTGAGCTAGGCTGATGCCATGGCATTCACTCTAGCCTGGGCAACAAAGTGAGACTCTGTTTCAAAAAAATAAAAATAAAAATATAAACTGAATTTTTAAATATGTTCATTTAAATATCAAAACAATATATCCCGGTTTGCCCCTGTGTTAGGGGTTTCCAAGCCCACACCCAGGTTAGTGATTAATTAGAGGACTCAGGACCTGACATATAGTCATACTCATGGCTGTGATTTGGGACAGGAAAAGGAGACAAAGGAAAATTGGCAAAGGGAAAAAGTTCATGGAACAAAGTGCAGAGAATCTAGGTGCAGCTTCCAACACCTTCTCTCAGTAGGTCCACACAGGACAAGATTCACTCCTCCAGCAGCCAACTGCCATCTGCCGGGGAAGCTCATCTCAGCCCAGGAGCCCGGGGCTTTTCCTGGGGCTGATCACATGGGTACCCTCCACTTAGCATGTAATAAAATTCCAGACCTCCAGAAGGAGAGCAGGTATTCGGTATAAGCCACATGGCTTGAACAGTTTAGGAGCAGAGAGCCACTCTTAACATTAGGGAGTGGGGGGATGCCCTACAATTCAAGTTCCCAGATGCCAGCCAAGAGCCAGCCTCGCAAACAGGCCTTTCTAGGGAAAGCATCTCAGGCCTTCGGTGCTAACTCATTTCTGCAGAGCCCCCAATACAATATATATCTGGATGTAGAGGAGTAAAACTTTTCCATTTGCCTTTACTTTCTCTTTCCTCATAAAAAGTGATGACAGAGTCAGCTTTGATTCTAGGGTGATCGGAACAAACAGGTACAAACAGTTGCAAGTATTTACTGAACACCCACTAAGTGCCTAGCACTCTAGACAGTAGCAGCAGAATACAGAGACGTAGCCCCTGCACGTGGGTTTCTTACATAACAGCTTAAATGAATTTAATGTGCAAACAGAGGCAGTAACAATGGTTAGAAGGTGAGGCAACAGTTGGCCTGTGAATAATAACCCCCTCTGTGCGTGTCTCCCATCAGCTACCACCCACCCCACCCCAGCGACTGAGCTGTGCTAACAACGTAGCGGCCCTTGCTTTGGTGTGAGTGAAGTGGTTCTGTCTTGAGCTTCATCTGAGAGAGCAAATAATTAAAGTGCCAGAAGGATGGTCACACGTGCTCAGGGCGAGCAGACAGGCAGAAGTACAGCAAGGCCGGGCTGTTTCCTGCCCGTCTCCTCACTGCCAAAACGTTCTGTTCCCACTTGGTTTTCACCGTCCCTTTCATTTCAAATTCTTGAAGTGACCCTTTAAAAGTTAATAAGGGTCACGCCTCTCGCTGAGATGGACAAGAAGGTTTGTTTAAGTTACAAGCCAGTTTATAGAGGGAGGAAACAGGTGCTGTCCTTTTGTACAGGGGACGGTGAAGGACGATAGCATAATAAAGTCACTATGGAGAATAGTAAAAATACCCACTTACATAATCACATATGTTACAAAATGTCACATCTTAGCAGATTGTACCTTTTACTCTTTGAGCAAATCTGGCAAGAAATGTCTCTGGATACTAAATTTTCATATCCAAAGAACTTAAATCCTAAATTGGTGAGTATCAAGATGCTAGGCCCTAAATCAGTTTCCTGCAGAAATTTGTAGGTATTGGCCCATCTGCTTTTTTGTGCAGTGTTAACATTGAGAAGTCTGATGCCTCCTTAAAACTTAGTCTTTTATTTATATCCTGCTTTCATCTTTATATTTCTGGAAGCTTTTTAGATTTATCTTATTGTTGGGGAACTGAAATGTCATCAGGATGTGAAATCTTTTTTTCTTCTTTCATCATGATCAGCACTCAGCATTGGTTTCTGAAAATTGTTCCTTTCCTTTCAGTTCTGAATGTCCTCTTCCCATTATTTCTGTAATAATTCATTTTTCTTCATTTTCTGTATTTTACCTTTCTTTAATCAGATTAAACTCTTTTCCCATTTGGTCTGTATGTTAGTAGATTTTGTCTACATTGTCTTGTAGCTCTTGATTCTACTTTCTGCCATGAGTGGTTATAATTTGGCCTCTATACAGTTTTTAATTCAGTCATAATTCACAAGGAGGACTCTCTTTTAACTGATTTCCCATTTATTGTTATAGTTACTTTCTGACTTATGGTTGCAATAACCTCTCAAATCTCTCTGAAATTATTAAATAATTACAGGTATTCATCTCTTTCCTTAATTATCTGTTTCTCTGAGAATGTTTATCACTGCACTTCTTCATGATGTTGATTTTCTCTTGCTCTTTGTTTATAAACCGTTGCAAAATATAGGCATAAAATCTGGTTTTAAAACACCATGGTTTTATCAGTGAGCTGCATGAATTAGACAATTAGAGGTTTACTTTTCTTACAAAACAAGAAGCTTAAGGAGGAAGGCCAAGGATGGTACAGCTGCTCTAACATGGATTTGCCAACTTTTCCATCTTCCCCTCAGCTCCCCTTAGGGGAGGGCTGAGAGGTAATACTTACAGGGTGTTTGGACATCACAGGCACCATGTTCCAGTTCCTGAAAGAAGCATCTGTCAGCTGATTCCATCCACTTTAACAAGAAAATATTAACCTTCCTAGATATTCTAAGAAGTAGAATTCCACTTAAATTTCATGGGATATAACCATTGCATGATCACATTTAGTCTTTTTAGTTAGACACAGCATCTTGGAGCAAAATCATGACATTCATAAGTTAAGGAAGAAAAGAAAAGTGGATTTTGCCAGGCACTAGTAAAGTCTGCTTCTGAGACCCATTCTGTTATAGTGTACCACATTTATGAAGATCAACGTAATTATGGATGAGTTGGTAAGTACTACTATCAACACCATTAACTCTGTATATCTCCACCCAGCTATACATACGTGTGTGCATGTGTGTAGACACACACACACAAGCTCTAGCACAATACATAATTGAATATACAGTCACATTTGGAAAGATTCCTACATAAACATGACTTTCACTTCTTCCATTAGCCAGGTAATACCTGTGACAACCATACTCTTCAGCTGGATGGCACTCAAGAAGGAAAAGAGCCACCAGGAGTTATCCAAACAAGTGGCCCCAAGGTAAGTTATAGCAGGGAACTTGGAGGTAGTCGTGAAAGAAGCTGTTTCTTCACAGTTGTTCAAAGCTTGAAAACTATGCAACCTAATTAAGATGGTTGGACAACCACAGCTGTCAACATCTCTATCTACCTTGAATCAATTTGTAAGAAAAATATTCAGCACAAACAAACCCAAGTTTAATAGATAAACGTACCAAGAATTGTATATTCTATAAAAAACAGAATACATACCCAGAAAATATTTGTTAATGTTTCCTTTTTGACAGATTTAGTGACCTTACATTTTATCTTTAATATTAGAAAATTCTCGTAGGAGTGTTAGTTCCCCTGAGTTGCAAGTCTACCTGCTGGAGCCAGGGCAGGTGTGCTCAGGTTCTGTGCTGTTCCCTGTGCAGGGTGAGCATCGAGCCTCTCAGTTCTGATACTTTAGCCCTGGGTGTCCAATTCCTGGCTCCGTTCCCATTCCCTCACTTTCCCTCAGCACCTGCTCTGCTCCTCCCACTCCCCCAGAGGAGGCAAAGCTCAGCAAGCCTGAGGATGATGATCGAGCCTCTGTGCACATACATTGGGGAAAGGTTGCTTTCTTTACAGTTTATCCAGGTTCTTTTCTCCTGTCTGTTTCTATTTGAAGTAGAAACCTTAGAAAAAGAAAAGATAGCTTGGGATAGGAGTTTATGTAATTTATCTTCCCTTTTATTTTTCTATCCTCAGAGTTCCTCTCCTAACTTCCTTCCAGAAAGAGCAAAGCAGAGTGGTGACTCCCAATAATAGGGCCCCTCTTCCCTGCTAAGATGCTGCAGGACAGAGACTTTACCTTTGAAGGGGCACTCAGGTGTTGATCCCACACACTCAGTCATTTTCCTTCATAATTTAGAGGAGATAGTGCCAGGCGTTCCCAGAGTTCTCTTGCATTCTTCCTCGGTGCTGTTCTGATGAGGTGTTAGGGGAATTTTAGAAAAGAATCCACATTATTTCTGGAATCTCTCTCCTGACCACCACTTATATGAACACTGCTGGGATTATTTTTCCTACTTTTTAGTTACATTTTGTGAATTCTACTAGATTTTGGGAGAGAGAGCCTTGGTCATCTGGCTTAACTCTTCCATTTTATCCCAGATTATAATCCCTGTTGTTTGTAGAAATAATACCAAAGTCATTCTTTTTATATTAAAAATTTGCCACAATCTACTTTGGTATTTCCAACCATTAGTCCTCTTGGATTAACCACACAAACCCTCAACTTTTGAGAACAAATCAGCTTTCTCTTTCAGGAACATATTCTGACTTTCCCAGTGTCAAAATTTTGTCGAGTCTTTACTTGCCTTTTAGAATGAACAAGAGATTTGAACAGGTAGTTCACCAGAGAAGATATATGGATGGAAAATAAGTTCATGAAAAGGTGCTCAGTATCAGTACTGATTATGGAAATGCCAACAAAGCCACAATGAGGTATCTCTAGATATCTTGTAGAATGGCTAGAATTATAGACTGACTATGCCAAGCATTGCCACACATGTGGAGCAACTAGAACTTTCATATATTGTTGGTAGGAGTGTAAAATGTTTCATCCATTTGGTAGCTTCTAAAAATGTTAAGAATATACTTACCATAAGACCCAGCCATTCCACTCACAAGTAATGCATATCCACACAAAGACTAATCCACAAATGTTTATAGCAGCTTTATTTGTAATAGCCCCAAACTGAAAACAACCCAGATGTCCATCTTCAGGTAAATGGATAAACAAATTGTGGTATATCCACATAAGGGAATACTACTCAGCAATAAAAAGCAACAAACTACTGATACTCACAACAGAATGGACCTCAAAATAATTAGGCTGTGTAAAAGAAGCCAGATGAAAAATATTCAATTTATATAAAACTATAGAAAATGTAAACTAACCTATGGTGGGGGACAGATTATCAGTGTTTGCCTGGGGATCTGGGGGTGAGTAAGGGGGAGAGGGAAGGAGAGATTCTGAAGAGGCATGAGGACATTTTTGGAGTTGCTGCTCTTCATTCAATTCGACCAGGGTGATGGTGTCACAGGTTATATATATATTTGCCAAAACTTATCAAAACCGTTCAAATTGCACTTTATGTGCAGTTCATTGTATGCCAGCTATATGTTAATAAACCTGTTAAAAATGAGTCAATTTAATGTTTTATGATTTCATTAATAGCCTACATATTTATTTTGCAATAAGGTACTTAAAGAGTCTATTATGTGTTACATGTGACTAACCCTTGACTCTAACTCCCAAATGCCACTAAACGCAAGAATTTACAAAAGGTTTACAGTCCATTCTATGATTATCAGAAACCTACTTTACAAATCACTTCTTATGTAGATAAAAGAAAGTATTTTCCTTATATGCAGTTGACATAAATGAAATATTCAGTTGTGTTAGTTTATTAAAAATGCAAAGTAATCACTCTAGTTTATTTCCAGTGTCTTAAATGAAAATCAGATACCTATACTTGCTATTGATTCATAATTGCCTGCAAAATACAATCATACCATCTGTTAGAAATCATCAGTTACATCTGTGTTTACTTCATATAAAAGAAAATCTAAGAGACCTTGATTTAAACAAGTGGAAGTTTATTTTAATCACAAGCAAGAAATTGTTGCTGGGTAGACCTGGTAGGACTGCAAAACAATGCAGTGGCAACCTGAACATGGATTTCCAACTTTTTCCTTTTTATGTTACTGCATTAGCATGTGGATTTAATCCTTATACCCAGCAGGTGGTTAAGAAACTCTGGATACTGTGTCAATTGCCCATTAGGAACATATGCCAACTGACTGTCAATTTTTAACAGAAAACCTTAACTGTCCTGGAAAATTATATAGTAGAATTTCTCTTATTCTTTGCTGACAGACTGTTACACCCTTAGTATGACTTTATGTGTTTTATTTTATTTTATTTTCTTATTTTAATTACCCAAAAAGCATTCCTTTATAAATAAGCTTTTCTAGGTTTTTTTTGGTTACCTTCTCTGCAACTTTTTGAATTTTACGAATTTTGAATGTATTTTAAATTTATTGCAGGAGTTCTGAGCTTTCACAAGGATCTGCCTTTTATTTCATTCATGCTGATGAGCACTCTGAGTCCTTTCCATCTGAGACCTGTTTTCTTTCTTTAGTTTCTGGACATTTTCTTCTATTATGTCTTAAATTATTTTTCTTTCCCATTTCCTATGTCCTCCCTTTCTAGAGCACATATTAGATGGTTGTGGCTTTGCTTGAATTGAATTTCGATATCTTCTGCATTCATTCTCATGTTAGTCTGTTGGTTCTGTGTTCTAGATTTATTTATGTTTCAAAGTAGACATTTTTTTCTTATCACTCCTTGGTCTTTTGGTTCAGATCAAGTGTAGAAATTTTTTTCTGTATTATTATTTAGCTTTCTCAATCTCTGTAAATTCCAGCAAACGTATTCTTATTTCCCAAGAGCAACTGTTTTCTCTCTAATATACTTATTGTAGCAGTATGTTCTTGATTCAAAGCAGCAACAGCTCCTAAGTCTCTTAGAAGATAAGAAATTATTTTTAAAAAATCAAATTATTTTTATATTTTTTTAATTGAGCTATAAGTTAACTAACAATAAAATGCATACATTTTAGGTGTATAATTCAATTAGTTTTAACAAATGTTTTCACCCATTTTACCACAGTTAATCAAAATATGGAACATTTCCATTGCTGCAGGAATTTTTTTTTTTTTATAACCTCTCTTGTGCCCTAATTCAGTGAATAGGTCTTCTTACTGTTTTATATCTGCTTTTATTTAAGTCTTTTATAAACCTAGTTTCTTAAACAAATTATTGGTATGGCATCCTGTCACCCATTAGGGTCATTCATCCCACATGGTAGATACTTGTGTGCCAGGCATTTTTCTAGGTCAGTGGATACAGTGGGGCTGGAATGGAAAGCACAAAGGGAGGTGAGTTTGGAGAAGTAGATGGAAGCCAGACAATGAGAACCTTGCTGGAAATAAGGATATTTCCAATGAGGAAACATATAATATATAAACAATGGAAAGCTACTAAAGGACTTTAGGCTGAAGGATGATTTCATCAGATTTATGTTTTGAAAACTATCACCCCAGATATTATGTATAGAATGGCCTGGGGTCAGGGGAACTGGAGTAAAAGCCAAGTGAGATACCAGTAAAGCTAATGCAATGAACTACATGAGACCTAGTGGTGTGGGTGGTCTCGCTTGGACAAGGGAAGTCAGATTTTTCTCAGGCTCTTTTTATTAATAGTCAGTGGTCTCCCAGCCCCAGCCCACAGAGACAAGCTGTGCTGTGATTTCTAACATTTTAGCTTGGTTTCACCTTTCATATGTGTCTAACTATAAATATAATATGCTCTTTTGCATCTGGCTTCTCATGTTCTTCATAATAATTTTGAGATTCATCTATTTGTTGCATATATTAGAAGTTTGGTACTTTTATTACTAATAATACTCCATTGTATAAATATACCACTGTTGGTATATCTAGTCTCTTGATATACGGACATTTGGATTATTTCCAGTTTGGGGCTATTATGAATTATGCTACCATGAGCATTTATGTAGTATAAAGGATGTATATTCTCATTTCTCTTAGGTAAAGGTGGCACATAATTCAGATTGTTGGCAAACAGCCATCCCCCATCACTCATAGCTCTTAAACTCAGCAAGGAATAATTTAATAGGTAAATCCAAAATAACTAAATTCTATCTTTTAAAAAAATCTATAGGTAGAAACACAACAAAAATAATTATTTATTGCATATCTTGTGTGGAGAAAGCTGTCAACTAAAGCTGGATCTTTATGGGTGAGCTCACACAGAAAAATAACAAACTACCATGTAAATTTTTTGTTCAGTATCTTCAGTATCAACATTGATGTAAATATTTATTTTTCTCCTGTTATTTTCCAAATGTAAACATCTCACGTGGAGAACATATCAGCTTTTGGAATGTGTGGCAATAAGTGATGCAAACAGTGAAATGTCTCTGCCCCAAGTGTGAGGAGCGTCTGCACAAGGAACCACACACCTCCCGTTGGGCGGTGGTACTGTGTGTCCTCAGGTTGTAGATTTTGCCTGTGGTGGAGGGAGAGCTTTTGACCAAGACTACGGATCCTCCGTGTTTTCCCCCATCCAGCTCCCAGCCCCTCCTTTCCCTCACTATTGGAATCCCACCACAGCAGGAGGGTGACGGGATCCACCCAAAGGCTCTGCCCAAGGACACCCAGTGTGAAAGGTGTTCCACAAGGCAGAAACTGTCAGCACACCTGCAGGTGGAGCCACAGCTCTCCGGGTCCCTAAAGTTTTCTGCAGAGGCATAGCACTGGACTCTACTGATTTTTCAATTACTTCGTGTAGGAAACTGTTGTATGTTTCCTTTACAGTTGAGTAGATCTATTTTTCCCAAAAGGCCAAAATTGTTGATTATGTACTCCTGTAAGTGAGTGGAGTGTGCTTAGTTTTAAGTTGTGTTGGGGGTTGGGTAGCTTAGCACATACTGTCTGCAAATGCAAAACCAACGAGGGAGATGAAGAGCTCTGATTCATTACTTCTAGGCAAAGCTGGTTTCATTTTTTGTTCTCCATGTTGTTTCTTGTGGCTCCCGGAATTGCTTCTCCCTTAGACTTGTAGACTTGTGTACTCACACTAGGAACCCATCTACTCCCAAGACAATTAGTGTATTTTATTTAAGTTTTATTTTATTTGTTTTCCTAGGGTTATATTTAGGAGCTGTCTACATATTTAAGGGAGGAGAGGTCTACCTGGCTCCTGTTCTTGTAAACATTTCTTAATTATTTATAGCCTTTCCCTACTCTTTGTTCTTCTGTATTGTTTGTTTTTCTCTTCCCTCCCTAGAAATTTTGTTTTATGCTGCTTTTAGGTAGAGGTGTTTATCTTACCAAGCCAATCCTATTTGTTTACATCTATTAATTTCTCACCTGATCTACTATGGAATTCTTTGCTGGTTTCTAGTGCTATTAAATATATACCTTTACACACACACACACACGCACACACACACACGCACACACACACACACACACACACATGTTTTTCTGCTATTTATAGTGATTGGGGTGATAAGAGAGGTAGATGATTATCAGTTTGCCATCTTGACTTAAATTTCTTATACTAGTTCTTATGTTTTGTTTCTTATTTTAAAAAGCTCTTTGTTCATTTTATAAAGTAATGTATAGCATCTCCAGGAAACTGAGAAAATATGATCAAGCAATATGAAGAATGACAGTTTTTTAAAAGACAAAATATTATATGTTTTCATAAACATCAATGTATTTAATTTCGCAGCAAAATTCCTTTGGTAAAGAAAAGAATATTCATGTCTTTTTTATTTTTTTGAGACAGGATCTTGCTTTATTGCCCAGGCTAGAGTGCAGTGGAATGTCATAGCTCACTACAACCTCCAACTCCTGGGCTCAAGGGATCCTCCTGCTTCAGCCTCCTGAGTAGCTGGGACTACAGGCACATGCCACCATGCCTGGCTAATTTTTATAGGTATTTTTCATAGAGACAGGGTGTCGGTCTTGCCCAGCTTGTCTCCTGGCCTCAAGCAATCCTCTCACCTTGGCCTCCCAAAGTGCTAGCATTACAGGTGTGAGTGACTGCACCTGCCCTTCATGTCTTAATTTCAGTAGCACCATTGTATAGCACCAAAAAATCTCTTAGTTCCAACTTTATAAGTGAAAAAATCAAGCTGATATCGTTGCTGCTGAATTCTCACTATGAAAGACAGTCCTAGAATCTACTGAAAGAAATAAAATAATAACGTGAAACCACTTAAACTTGTGTTTGGCTGCATATAATCAAAAAGTAGAGTTGTTTTGCTTCACATGGAGACCCTCAAGATAAGTGGTCCCCGTCTGATGGGGCGGCCACCTGGACACTGCCCCTGCCTGCCTTCCCAGTGCCCGTGGTACCTATTTGCACAAGATGCCTGGCAGCCTCGGGCTGTCATCTGCGGTCCTGTGGTGAGCAAGTACCAGCTGGCCCTGTCCTTTTCCTTGATAAACACTGTTGGTGAAATTCCACTTACACCTCGTTGGCCACACTTGTCACGTGATTCTTCTTAGTTGCAAATGAGCCCGGAAGTCAAGTTTTTTGACTTAGTACCCCTAACTCCCTGGAACTAAACCAAGATATTGTCAAGACAAATAGAGTTTGAGGCAGGCAAGAGCAGTGTCTGCCACAGAGGCCAGTGGTCCGAGGGCCTGGCATCTAGGTGGCTCACAGTAGCACTGCTCCAGTGGCGGGATGCTATCGTCCAAGCACAGGCAGTTACAACTGCACATAGTGCCACACATATAGTACATGTTACAAAGTATTGCCTCAGTAAGAATGGCACTTTTATTTCTCCATTTAGCCAGGTGGTGCTTCTCTCAACAGTACTACCCTGTCTGATACGTCCCAGGTTGAAGAAGAGAGTTTTGCCGTTCCCAGGAGTGGCTCTGTGGTAAGTCATCACGTGTTAACACATTTGCAAGTCAAGGCACAATTGTAAGTCAAGGCAACTAATGTAGGAAGGTAAGAAGCAGCGATTGCTTCAAGACAGATTTTTTTTTTTAACTTGTACTAATATTACAAAGAAACCACAGCTGATGTTAGACCACCCCCCCCAGCCTTGTAACAGTTAGGCAGAGGGAGTCCAAAAACTGAGGAGTGAATAGATCTCAGTTTGAAAGAGGACTCCATGAATTAATACCACTGCAACCAGAAATCAAAGGATGTTCTCCACATGCAACAGGTGTGGAGGGATTTGTTAACTTTGGTCCTCTTGGCTGAGTTCACACAGAAAATTACCAGAGGTCTGATGATCTGGTTTAACTCTGCTGTCTTAACTCAGAAGTCCCTTTTACCCCCGGACAAATTAAAAACCTTCATCAGATATCAAAGGCTCTCTATTGCCTGCATTTCCAGCCTTATTTCTCAGGACTCCCCCATGCAAACCCTTTTTCTTAAGACAAATTCACTCACTTGGCCTTGAGTAAAAGAATTTGTACTTTTCTTTGTCAAACATTCTTGTCATCCCCTCTTCTCACTCCCACTGAGAATTCCCACTTGGTGTGTGAGCAGGTGCTCTGGCAGGGGGTGTAGCATAGGCAGCCCCCCCAGAAAACAGTGAGACACCCCATTAGAGGGGCCAGTGGTTCTCCAATGGCAAGTTGGTAGAAGGCAGCAGTTGGCACAGTAGATGGTCTGATGGAGATGGCACAGTCTAAGGTTCCTCTGGGGCGATTGTTTCCCAATCATTGTCCAGCTTGAGGAACAGGTGGCTGATGTTCATGTGTCACTCCCAGCGTGTTCCCATTGTTTAGAGAGGTAATGCCATTAACCCCATATAAATTAGCTTTTCTGCTGTGATTGTAGATTTTTGGTTATGAGGTTGTCTTAGACTAGAAATAAGTTCATGTATCAGTGATATATTTTAATTAATAAACTTTATTCTTTAGAGCAGTTTTAGGCTCACAGCAAAATTGATTGGAAAGTACAGAGATCTCCGATGAACACTCTGTCCCCACACATACATAATCTCCCCCAACAGCAATAATTTTGAAGAAGTAACTAGCTTAAATTAAGCCTATTTTTCTTATTACAATAATTTATTTAACCTTTATTAATTTTTTTATTCTTTCGTGGCTCTACTTGAATCATTTTTTTTCTAATCTCTTGGATTACAAACATATTTCACTTGTTTTTAGTCTTATTTGCATTTAAGGTTAAGAATTAATCTCTGAATAATGCTTTGGCTACTCTCATAGAAACTTGGTATTTAATGTTCTCATTATCTTTGATGTTAAGGCCATAATTTCAGATGTGCTTTATGTTTTAACCCAAGATGTCATCAGAATACCTTTAAACTCATGTATAATTAGATTTGTAATTGTTGATATATTTTTCATCTCAAAATGCATTGCATGTTTGTCAGTGCGTGTGGCTTATTTAAGTTGGTCTCTGGGGAATTTGATGCAGTGTTTGCAAGATGTGGATGTGTCAATTCTGGTCTAAGGACAGAAGAGGAAGGTGGGGAACCTTACTGTCCCTGTAGCTTTTGTATGTGGAGTCATATAGCACATACACTCAAACCATGAGCAAAAATTAAACATCTACTAGTCAGAGAGGTCAGGAGCATCTTTTGAGTCAATGAATTTCTCCCGTAAGTAATGAACAGAGCATTGAAAATGTTTGGTGTGGTGTTTATTCAATACGGAGGACATATCAGATAATGCTAGTCAAAGTCTAGTTTAAGATAAAACTATAGCAGATAGTATTGTGAATACTGTGATCTAAAATAAAATCTTAAACTCCCCAGATGACAGAATGGACCTGCTCTTAGCTAAAGGGGACCCCAGAAATACCCTAAAGCTGAGTTGCTGGCCATTAGAGGGAGGGCCTCTTCATGCCCCACTCACTTCTTGGAGATAGCCTCTGTAACTCATCAATAGGCTTAAGGCTATACGGGACAAGCTTAAGTCATACCTGCAGGTCATCATTTTACATAATGGATCACTGAAGTCTGGGTATATGTTGGTGGCTTGTCTCTAATTAACAAACATCCTTATCTTAATTTAAGACATTCTAAGCCTTTAGACAAAACTTTATTTCTTTAACCAATTACAAATCAAAGAATCTTCAAACCCATTTATATCCTATAATTCCCTGTTTGAGATGCTCTGCTTTTTCAGGCCAAATCAATGTACGTCATCCATGTATTGATTTTGACTTTATCTATAATTCCTGTCTCCCCAAAATGTATAAAACCAACTGCAACCCAGCCCCAGCGAGTCCACTTGCTCAAGGCTTCTTGGGCATGGCTCTGGGTCATGGTCCTCAAATTTGGCTTAGACTAAACCCTCTTAAATTGTTTTACAGAGTTTGTCTTCTTTTCCATTGACAAAATAAACCTCTTTATATTATTCTACAGAGTTTGGATTCTTTTCCATTGACAATACCAACCTTCTACAATTTAGAATTTAAAATATCCCTCATACTCTACTCTCCAATCCCAGCTTGGTGCAATTTGGGCAGTAGAGCAAAGTTTCCGGGGAGGGAAAACGCTGCCTTTCCTTAGCAATGGAAGCCCTGGTGAGGAGCAAAGGCTGTGGCTGAGCACATTAGGGAAGTGTTAGGGTTGGTTACAAACAAGCCAGGGAAGGTCATCTTTATATTTGAAATACTTTAAAATCACTAGTACCAATAAAAAGTGATGCTAGTCTTATTATGATTGTTAATGGGTCATGGATGTCTTAAGACTGTATATGCCAAGCATCTAGCCTTTGTGCTCAACCTACCTCAGAACTCAAGGAACTTTCGTTGGCAGCCCAGTCTTCCTTTTTCATTTCACCACGTCATTCCCCTGCTTTAACATGAAGACTTTCCTTTGTTTTGCTCTGTTTTGTTCCTCACCCTTAGTATTCTAAGTCTCAACTCCCCTACCTGGCTTTCAAAACCTCCATTAACTTCAGTTGACTCTCTTGATTAATTTATTTCTCATATTTTCTTGTATTTTTTTAATGCCATGCTCCAAATCCTGGCATCCCTGTCTCTTTATGATCTCGTGTGCTGAAATGCCTCAGGTATTTCCATACCCAAAATTTCTGCTTCTATTTCTGGCCTGAATGCTCCTGCCTGTCTCCACTGCCTTCCTAAATTCTTTTCATCATTCCTTTGGTTCCGGCTCAAGTTTAGCCACCTCATCAGTGAAAACCTCTGGGCTGTACCTCTTCCCTCTTTATAGCTCCCAAGTAACATTTACAGTTTGTATTATAAAAATTAGCTCTTAATGGTGGATTGATTTTCTGTTAATAATGCTCCGTTAATGTTGTTCTGTTCTCATTGTAAATAGCTCCAGAGCAGGAATTATGACTCAAACTTCTCCTTCCCCCAGGAAAGTCCAACAATAATTCGAATTACAAAGAGCAGGCATTCATTCAGTGTCATAGGCTGTGTAGAGGTTAGTTAACCCAAATGAGATTAAGAAAATGACATTCAGTAGATTTAAGCATCCCAAACCATCAGCTTCAAGCACTAAGGTCCATCTATTTTCTGAAGGTTTTGTCTCCTGTAAGTGAGTTATTTCAAAATCTGACAAAGCATTCCTTTGTTGGAAAACTTAAGGAACTACTGAAAAGTTGTCCACATCTTTTTTTTAAGAATTTTAATGTGGAGTAATCTTTATTCTGTAGTGTTAGTTTTTAGAGCCACCAAAAATCTGACTGACAATGAGCTACATGGACCTAGACTTTCTTTGTTTTTTCATTCGTCCACCAATTACAATAATTAGGCATCTAGGTAAGAAGTATCTCATCTCCTTTGCAATAAAATAGGAATGAAAAGAGAACATGAGGCTCAGAATTTAAGACTGCCTTGTGTAATTAGTAGCACATGATAAAGATTCTTCCATGAAGCAGGTGTTCAGTTATTGCTAAATAAATATGAGAATAAAAGAAACAGTATCAGGCTCTGGGGGGAAAAAAGAACAGATTTTATGTGTGATGAGCATAGAAAGGATTCTTGATGGAATACCTGATTTTCATCATCACACATATTTATAGATAATAACTCCCACCTTAAAACTTAAGGGATTTGTGTGTCAATTTTGGGGGGTAGACCATTTAGGTGTAAATTTTTGCTGATACCCATCCAGACCTGAGCAGTAACTTTCTACGCAGGACTCTACAAAGGCAGATACTCCACTTCTGATAATATTACAGGGGAGTTTAGTGCTTTGGTGGGATCTCAATGAAAAACGTATCAAATTAATTAAGAAGAGGAACTTAATATTTTATGAGTTATCACTCTATTTTGCAGTGAGGGAATTCATATGTTAATATTATATTAGAATAATTAGTATAATTAAGACAAAAATGCATAAAGATTAATTAGCAAATGATATTATAATTATCAGATTATGTGACTTCAAATATCATAATTGCTACATCTTAGCAAAGGTATAAGCAGCAAATATTTAAGAGCTAAGAAGGCACGGTTACATTAACCTTGACATCGTTCCCTTTTGAGGAACCTGTGTGAGTTGTACACATCTGAACTGAATGCAGAAACAAAAGAAATCAGATGCAGGCCCTTTATGAAATCGAGAATTGCTTTTTGTGAAAATAATGCTTACATACTGCAGAACATAAATCAGATTGAAATGTGAGGTAGACTGTATTCACGGTAAAATGTTTTGTGTTCATCTTCCCTTGCTTGGCAGTCTATACTTGAGACCATTCCAGATATACCGGTTCATTCCAATGGATCACCAGACCCCGGGCAGCCCGTTCAGAACGCCATGAGTGGTGAGTGACATGCCTCCCATTGCACACAAGCTGTGTCTTCTCGCTTTTGTTCTGGCACTCAGTACGGTTAGCAGTGAATTTCTAAAAGCAAAATGTAAGCGTGTTTTTCTCCCCGTTGCAATTTTGTCACTTAGAGCACTCCTCCCATCCACCTCCAAATACCCCATTCTGTCACAACAGACAAGATTAATTGGGCCAAGTTGGAAGCAGAATCTTTTCCTCCTTCACCAACCACCACATCATTTAGAAACTACTCACTTGGGTGGTGTCTTTGGTTGGAAGCCTCTTTCACAGGCAGTCTGGATCTGCTCAGCAGTTGCAAGTTGGCCAGGAAATAAGCCACTTCCAAGAATCTCTAATCACTGCTCAAGTGTGTGCAGCACCAGAGCAGCTTCCAAGGGACAGGGTTGCAGGAGTAGCTTATCTGGCCTCTTCCACTTGCGAGGTGGGCTCCCGAGGTGGGCTCAGTATGGAATCTCAGATCCTCCTTGTAGGAAATAGGCCCCCTCAGGCCATACTTTTGTGATTCCTCAAAGTTTTCCTGAGATATATGCACTGTCCTTATAAACAACAGAGCCTGTACTTTCAGCATTAGCTTTAAAAGTCAGAGAAGTTGAGGTGATGAAGATGTTCTAAAATTGATTGTAGTGATGGTTGCACAATTCTGTGAATATACTAAAAATCATTGACTTGTATATTTCAAATGGGTCAATTATGTGGCAATTCAATTCTGAATTGAATACCATAAAAGCTGACATCAAAAAAAAAAAATTCTTGCCAGAAATTGACATTCCCCATCAATCTATTGGCTGTCGTACTGTAATTTAGTTCAAACCATGGCACTAAATGATAGATGTCTAGAGGGAGTGGTCTAGTGGTTTGGAGCATTAGCCTGTTCAATAGCTGCTCCCCCAAAACTCCGTTTGTATTAATAGATCTATAAGAAGTTAGAGTACTATTTAACTATTTAGCTTCCCCTGTAATGAATGCAAACCTCTGTATGACAAGTGAAAAATCATAACTCTCCCTTTGCCATTTTCCAAGTTCTTGCTGCATCCATTTATTATGTTTTCAGTTGGTATTACTATTCAGGATTTTTGAATTTGTTGACGCTCCATCTATCTTTTCATGTAAAATGAATTAGGTCTTCTAGTAATTCTGCCTTTTGTTCCTTTTGTTCTATTTAATTGTCCTCTAGTCCGTGTCTATAAGAGAGGGCAAAAGAGAAAGAGTTCTTTTTTGTAATCAAATCATTCTTTGCATATGAAAAGTTTTGCCAGGCAATGAAGCAAGATGGCAAGCCAAAATCTTAGAAGTCAGCTTAGAATTGCTTAAGCTTATGGATTCACCTGGTTTCGATCAAGGAATCTTTTGTCTTAATGTTCAAACTAGCTTGAGGAGACGAATGTATAAGGGGTGTTACTTGTAACCCATTCAGATTTTTGGCAATGCATATCATACAAGGTCAGGTATCTAATATCAAATTACAGAAATTCAAATTAATTCACCGAAACAAACATAGCAGTGAAATCCAAATTAAATTTGAACAAATCTTAAGAGGCAAATATTCCATAGTTTGGGGGGGCAGAGGGTACAAGAGCAATGAAGTAGAGAGGAATTCTGGGTGGATCCTGCCCTTTCTTTCTCTGCTTTAAGTCTCTCATGCCCTGATAACAGTCACATTGGGTCCAAATGGGCTTAATTTTAATATCATAATAATATAAATACATATTCTATTTTTGGACTTCCCTTTAATGATCAGCAAGTTCCATGAGACATAAAAATCTAAAATGTAAAATGTCAGATTAAATAGAAAGTTTGTTTGGATAATGGTGATAAAAACATGTTCCTATGGAAGTCCAATGACAACACATTATTGTTTAACTGAACTCCAGTAGGCAAGTCTACTACTCTTCGTTGGATATGAACATTCTAACATGTTTGTGGATTAACTTGCAAACAGTTTGTGTTTATTTTACAGAAAATGGTGTTGATCGATTAAATGGCTTATTAAATATTCTATATTCTTTGTTTTTTTTAGATAATGACTATTTGGAAAAGAACATTCCACCAGAAGCTGAAGAACTATCTTTTGAAGTGTCTTATTCAGAAATGGTTACAGAGGCTCCAAAAAGAAATAAACTTAAGAAGTCAGAGATTAAGAAAGAAGACTATGCTTTAACTGTAAGTAAAACCTTTCTTGGTTATTCCAGTAACTTCCTGTGACTTCTCCATGGGACAAAACTAGCATTTCTTCTTTTTAATATCTCTGTGTGTGCACAAGGGGTTTGGGGAAGCTGGGCATCAGCACTGCATACCCCCATTTGGGCTGCTATTTGGGGTATCATTTGTTGTGCAGTGCACAGCCTGCCTGGCTATACCTGGCAGCCTTGGTTGAGGAAAAGTTATGAGGGTGTATGCTTAAATACTGTTTTACAGATATAGTAGGATTTCCACTGGCTTGTGCGCTTTCTTGCACTTTATATCCTTAATTCACTTATAAGTCAATACAGACCTAACTTTCTGCACCTGTTCCTCCATAAGCCACATATCAGAAGGGGTATGGCAGAAAGTCACAGTCATAACATCAAGAAGTTGGAGCTCATAGAACAGATGCTAAAAACTCGTTAAAACCAATACAAGAGTTAATATTATTATGGCATACACAAAGAGAGTCATATACTATGTTGGCTTCAAAGCCTCTTATATAAATCCAGGATATTATCCACTGGAAACCTACTATAGAACTATGGTACCTTGATCTATTTGCTGTTCAATAAATGCATGTGTGAAACCTTCTGTGGAGTCCCTAGTATTCTGTGCTGATCAGGGCTGGAGGCAGGATGAGCCAGGCCCAGGCAGTTGCAGAGCTAAAGGAATGAGTCATCTAGAAACAGATTCGTTGTATCAGGTGCCCTGGACCATTCCCAGCAATGCCCCTTGACAGAGGAGAGGAAGAGGACAGGGAAGAAAGGACTCTCTAAGACTCACTGAGCACCTTCTACGGGCCTAACACTGTGCTGGGTGTTCTAATTGTAAGGCGGGCTCTAGTGCTTATTCACTATTGACAGCCGAGGAAACTGAGGCCAGGGAGGCTAGGTAACATTTCCAAAGCCCCACAGTTGGTAGGAAGCAGAAACAGGATTTAAACCTAAGTATGTCAAACTCCAAAACCCTTCCTGGCCCCTAAGCAGTCTCCAGGTTGTAGGGCAAAGTGGCATTCTAGGGCAAAGAGGGAAGCCAGTAGCACTCTGGTTTCCAGAATCATCCAGGAGAGGATGCTACCCCAGGTCTCCTCACCGAAGCTGCCTCCTCCTCATGTGTGGGTCACCTGGGATGCAGGTCAGCCTCCCATGAAGAGCTTTTCAGAGGGTCTAGCTCAACAGTAATTGCTCGATAAATGATTGCAGCTCTTGCTTATGTTGTTGTTGTTGTGTATTACTTTCATGTGGGGCTTTGGTTTTAGAAAGAAGGTAAAGTAAGTGTTTAATAGCACAAGATATTCTCCAAACTACATTCTACATTTTGTAGTTTTACTTTTAAGTACTTGGGGTCCCAATGAACAATTGTTGAATGAATGAGTAAATTGTTTGAAAACCACAAGGAACCTCTAATTTGGGGAACCCCCGTGGAGAATGTATACTTAACCACTTCGGGACCAGCGTCAACTGTAGTCGACAGCCACAGATGAACACGCACAGCCCGGGGTCGACTGTAGCTGACAGCCGTGATATGACTTTTCTAATTTTTCATTTATCAAAACAAAATTGTGAACATTTAAAAATAACATAATGAAAACATATATGTATATGTTACCTATTCTTATTTACAAGTAAAGCTGCCTGTAAAGTAAAATAAGCTTTCAGTGCTTTAAAGCTTTCCTCATCACCGAAGAGCAAAACGGAGTCGTCATCAATGCACAGCACACACTGTCGTGCGGACTGTGCGTGCCGGCTGTGGGCAAGGTTTCGTGGCCGGTGAGCGCCATACCAGAGTGGTTAAAGCTTTGTAATCTGAATAGCTATGGGATTTTTCTACTTTTAGCATTTTTTTCAATGCCAGGCCTTCTGAGAGCAAAGTGTACCTGTGGATATTACATAAGAATAGTCTTGTTTTACTGCTTAGATTCTTCACAATATTTCTGGATTGTTGAAGAGTTTGTTATTGTTTTGGTGTATTTCGTTTCTTAGTGTGGAAATGGAGAATATAATAGTATCATTGTCATCAAAATGATAGTAGAATCATTTGCGTAAGTTCATTATGTGCATTTTGACTTGTTTAAGAAATTAGAATCATTTAAATTTGATTTTTAGGGTAAATAACTGCTGTCTCAGCAACACGTGTAATAAATTTAAACTGGGAGATTAGTAAAGGTCTTTTAAAGTATGCAGAGTGAAATAGATGAAGCCTTATCTAAGGATTGACCCCTGACCCTTAAAAAAGAGACATCTAAAGCTCTCCTGAGATGTACATAGATATGTTGTCGTGGGTGTGTGTGTGTGTGTGTGTGTGTGTGAGAGAGAGAGAGAGAGAGAGAGAGACGTGTGATCCAGGTTAAGGGCCATTCCACGTGGTGCCTGGCATATATGTTGTTGGACAGTACAGGATGTTCCTTATAACAAGGTAGTTTCCACAGCTGCGATGGCAGTGTTATCCTGTACTTCAGACTGCTGTTTTGTTTCTAATTGCACAGTAGTGATCTGCAAATGTTCTAAAAAGCATATTCATAATGTTTCTATGCTTCAATGTGCTCCTTAAGAGATTTTTTGCAAATAGCATGTTTTGCTATATAGATTGAGAACATCCAGGTGGCATTTGAATGAAGGTATAATAATTTTCCTTTGCCATAAAAAAAAAACCTTCATTTTATATTTCAGAAACTCATTGTCCAGAAAACGCGATCTGGCTTAACGGAAGCAGGAGATCTATCTGCTGAAGACATGAAGAAAATCCGCCACCTCTCTCTGATTGAGCTGACTGCCTTCTTTGATGCCTTTGGAATTCAGCTGAAAAGAAACAAAACAGAGAAAGTAAAAGGGCGAGGTAACTAAAAAGACCGATTGCTTCTTGCTTTAAGGCTTTTTGACACATTGGAATAAAGTAGTGCTTTTCTGATTCTTTTTCTTTCCCCCTGACAATTAATTCTACAACGAAGACAGTGGGATTTTTGGAGTTCCACTCACAGTCCTCCTGGAAAATGACCGCAGGAAAGACCCTGGCGTGAAAGTCCCCCTGGTGTTACAAAAAGTGAGTAAAGGCAGTGAACGAAGGCTGCACAGGGCCTCGCGCCTGTGATTGGATACTTTGTGAAGCCGTGAATGAAGGGATTTTCTTTTTGATTTAAAGACACTAACGCCCTATTAGGGCCCAGTCCTGCGTGATTTTCAGCCTCGTCCCATACATCCTTGCGCGGCCTTGCTGCATGCTCTGGGAGCCTGTTTCGTCGCTGACTGTGACACATCAGGTCATGAACACACAGGCTCTGACCCACGTCTTCCTTCAGTTGTTTCTTTTTCCAGTATTTTTTCCAAATGTTATTTGTGCATATGTATGTGTTTGTATGTGTAGTTGATTATTCTGTCTGGATAAATAACAATATGCATATATAATCATACAAGTATTTTCTGAAATATATCATAGGGTGTTTTTTTTTAATGTGTGTGTGTAATCGTTTTATGAATTTTCCAAACTGAGATTAATATAGTCTAAAACTCAGCTTGTTCTGGTGGTTTTTCAGGTGTGACTGAGCAGATAGGCTATGTTTAGACAAACAGAAAATTTTGCTGGAAGGGAGTTTTGAAATTGATATTACCTCAACTATAAAATGAGAATATCTCTGCAACTACCATTACTGAATAGCTGATTTTCTTTTAAGTTATGTTTGTTTTATAGCCAGCAATTGACACTGCTTTACGTAAGTGTGCATTTATCAACAGTGACATCCAGTGGCACAATGAAAATTCCAAGCCCTTAACACAAATCTTAATGAATTTTAAAGTGAGTTTTAAAATTATGTATGAGAATCTTGACTAAGGACACATATACCTACTTTACTCCCACTGACGACTCTACGTTGTCTTTTTCCTGTCTTCCTGTATTTTGATACCAGTACACCAAATTGGGCCACTCCTCAAATCAGGTTGACTGACTGGCGATGGGAGGAGGGAGGAGGGTGACCAGACAGCCAGAGGATGCCGGGCACCACCGCACACAGGGCCCGTCTGTGGAGCCCTTCCCCGGGCAGGGCGGCACTGGGGCCATCAGATAGTGTCGCGTCTAGTCAGCACCCAGCAGCCCAGGGAGGCTGGTGTCATCGTCTCTCTTTTTACTGAAGAGGCAACTGAGGAACAGGAGGGTGAGGTAACTTACCCAGGAACACACAGCTGGCACGGGGTGGAGGGGAAAAGGGACACGGCATGGATCCAAGTCCAGAAGCCATGGTGACTCTGGCTTTCCTTCCTTCTTTGATTTAAAACCAAAATTCTACCCTTTGTCCTCTAAGTTAAAGTCAGAGTTTGGCAAAAATCCATAAAAAAATCAAAAACGAAAGATTCGACACAAGTTTATTAATATTATTATGTAGGTGTAAAGACCTAGCAGAGAACTTAGCAAATAGGAGCAAACAGAAAGTACTCAGTAAATGCTAAACTACATCTGGATTTATATCATAGTAACATCAATAACGGCTACCTGTTATTGCTACTGATGCTGAGTGTTCCTCATTTAAGACGGCTGCAGGCAGTGTTCTTCCCCTCCTAGTCTTTAAGGAAAGACTCTCTCATATATATTCTTCTGAAGTATCTATTTCTCTCTGTACCTAAAAGAACTACCTTAGTTCCAGAAACCATCGTTTCTTGAAAAGAAAGTGGCAGAGACACTGAGTCTTCCTCTTACTGTGTGAACCTGGGAAAATTCTGTATCCTTTCCAGAGATGCATTTTAGCTGCTTTGTTATAGTGAATTGAACTGTGTTCCTCAGTGTCTCAGCAGTACAATGGGGATGATAATATACTTTGTACAATTATCGTGAGGGTTAAATGAGTTAATATAGGTAAAGTACTGGGATTCAGATCTGACACACAATAAATAGCAGTGTTTATCATTATTATTGTTATTATTTTTTATACTCCTCACCACCATAAGAACTCATAGAAGCTATTAACCTTCACCATTTCTAAACTCCTTGGTCAGACTTCTAAAATTCCTGTAGTTTCTTAGCCAAGGTGGTTGCAGCCAATAACAGTAGACTTAGAATTTTTTTCTTACTGATCAGTCTGCAGAAAGAGGTATAGTAATCAGATCTTAAAATTATTAAGTGGCAGCATGTCATAGTGGTTAAGAACATAAGCTTGAGAGAGTCAGTGCTGTGACTTATGAGGTTGATCTTGGGAAAGTTGTATCACTGCCCTAAATCTCTCTTTCCTTGTTGCAAATTGGAGGATAATGTGGACCTCACAGGGTGGTTGTGAGCCGTTAACAAAGCACGCAAGTGCCAGGCACGTGTACATGACAGTTTACAGATTGATGTCATCATTATTAGTTCAGATGTTTGTAATCCTATGGAGGTACTTATTTTTGTAATATATTCTTGCTTTCTAGTTTTTTGAGAAAGTTGAGGAATCGGGTCTGGAATCAGAAGGCATTTTTCGACTTTCAGGATGTACTGCCAAAGTCAAGGTACTGGATGTTTTCTCTCTTCCTAAAGTTCTAAGCTAGTTTGAATCAGTCCATATGAGCTTCGGGTATCCAGGTCTTTATTGTTATTCATTTGATACTATCACTTAGTCCAACCTAGTATTCCTTGGAACCTATGGTTAAATATTTGTTCTATGATCCAAAGTTGTTTAAATTAAAACAGCAACAATAAAAAACCAACAATAATGAAACAACACATTAATTCACCATCAAAAATTGCTGCTTGCCTTTAGTTTGGAAAAATTGAGATGTCCCATCCCTGTTTTGGAGCTTAAATACTTAGTTTGTTGTATTCCTGTCAATCATGGAATTCACTAAGCCCTTACTTCCAATGTCAGTTGCTTTAACCTTAAAGCAATCGTGGCTCTCCTTACAGTGAAAGTTCTTGCAGCAGTGAACAGTAATAGCCGTAATCACTGGAATACTCACTCAGCAGTTCTAAACCCCGATTCCATTTACTGTAAGGTTAGTGTCCACATATAAAACCACCCGTGCAATGTGAGCCCTTTCACTTTTCTCCCTTACTTCTGTGAGGTGGCAGACTGTCTGCTGGTGGCACACGCCTCGGAGAGTCCATTCCCGCTGTCGAATCACTCCCTGGCTTGAGGACATTAAGCCTGAATCTCTGAGAAAACAGTACCAGGGTGAGGGAAAAAGGAATTTGGTAATGTTTAGAACTATTAAAAGGAAACACAGAAAAGCATCTCTTCATTCATTCGTTTTGGGAAATTCTATTTGTATCAGAAGTCTCGAGGTTGTTACGTAGAAGTGTGATGAGATGTTTTTCTCAGTGGAAACTGAGAATAAATAGGTTGTGCCTATTGGATCCTGCAGAAAGCAGATGCTGAGGCAGATGAGGAGTGGGAAGGGGCTATGGGGACAGTGCTTGTGAGATATAAAAGGGCGGGAAGCAACACTGGGCAGGGTGAGCCTCAGGCCAAGGTGCGAGTCTGGCAATTCCTTCCTGCAGAGGAGCCCTGTGCCAGGCAAGATGGGCCAGGCCCCAGCCCCAGCCTCACTCTCGGTCCTCAGCTTCCTGCCAAGAGCAAGGCGGAGGCAGATCCAGAAGTGGCTAACAGCTACCTGGGCTTTCTTGCAGATGAATGTCAAGTCCTCTTTTGATGGGAAATCAGAGCAGCCACGAGGGTGTTCCCAGTGACATTGGGGATTAGGGCATGTTGGGGAGCTGGGCCTTAGCAGAGGGCAGAGTTGTTCGAGTGCTGGCACAAGTTCATCTGGAAGGCAGAGGGATGGCTCCTTAAGGCTTATACTTTCTACACTGAATCAGGTTTTTGTCTCGGTTTCTCATATGTTTGGTTCTTACATATGCTTTCTGAACAAATGTATGCTAAATCTGAGGATGAAAGCCATCACTTATTTTGGTCAAATCTATGGTTTTATCTATAGAGTCAGAGAACAAAAGTGAATTTCCTAAACAGAATCAGATTCTATCTCTTGAAACCTCCCTCCATAATTAGGAAGCTATATTCGGACGTATTCTTACTGGTTCATGTGTGTGTGTGTGTGCACAGATATGTGTAAAGTATAATAGATATGATTTAAAATCACTTTTTCTAAATCATCAAAAAGAGAAAACATTACAGGACATTTCTTATGGGCACAATGTTTAACATCATAGCAAAAGTTACTTTTCTTTAGCTGATCTTTGACTGAAAAATGCCTGTCAAAGGCTAGTAATTCCTTCAAAATGTTCTTACAGGCACGTGCATTCCTGAGCCACAGTTAGGTCAAAGTTCCTTCCTCCCCTAATCAGTTTTCTGTCGTTTCAGCCTATTTATTCCATTGCTTATTAGTCTGAAAATATAATCCAGATGTTTTCATGGTTTGAGCTCCAGGAAAGCTAATATGAAAGAAATCCAGGCCAGTGAAATATGGCAGTTAGAAAGGCATTATAACATGAGGTATTAAAGAGGTCTTTATTTCTCTCCTTTATTCAAACTTTAAACTACCCTTTTTTTGGTAACTCATCTGCTGGACTACTAAAAATCCCATTATGATTATCCTCAAATTGTGCCAAGTCAATGACAGCAACACTGTGGCTCCACTATCATCCTTATGGGAACAGCCGGGCCTGGCTTTGTGCTGTGCACGCTTGGTGAGACGGACAGGGAGGCGGCCCTGAGAGGAAGCGGCTGGCTTTAGCCAAACGGAACGCAAAACTGCAAGGCCACGTCCCTCATTTGAGGCCTCAGCTCATTTGGAACCAATTTAATGCTTTAATGTTTCCAATGATTTTCCTTTCAAAAATGACAGAAATTTGAGCCAAACACTAGGGAATATATTTTATGGAAGGAGGCCGACTGACATGTAAGGCTTTCTTTTTTGACTAGTTTCCATCATTCTGAAGCTGCTCTATTTTGTCATTACATTACCTGGCTTGTTGGTTTCCTGGCCTGAACTGTGTTGGAGCAAAGGTTGGTCATTTGCATGTGTATAAAACTACCCCCAAGATTGAAGCAGGTTGCCTTTTTGCTCAAAGGAGATTTAATGACTTGACTTCTGACTCTCACTTAGTATTCTCATTAACAATAGGCAGAAAAACATGACTTTTAAAATCTCTGAGTGCTCCCTGTCTTTGACAAGGTAAATTCACACCTGGTTTACATGGTTTCACGTTTAAAACCACCGGTGAAATGTCAGCTCAGCTCAAAACCAAAAGAGGACATGCTTTTTCTCCGTGTTGTTTTATACCAGCCATCCAGGCACCATGACGTGGTATTATTACCCAAGCAGTCACGGCACATATGCATGGGGCTCCCGTAATAATGACACTGCAGCTTAGAATAGACCTGGGGGAGGGGACAGAGCAGGCATTTATTGAGTGCCGTCTGTGTGACAGGCCCTGCTCTGTGAGCCTTACATGATAACGGCGATTTAATGTAAGGAAGGATCATTTTAACATCCCGCGTTGTACAGTGAGAAGGTCGAGGCACAGGCCACACCACTGGGCAAGTGTGGAGTGAGGACAAAGACCCTTGGTTCTGGTGCCGTGTTGTCCCTCAGGTGACTGGGAACCACTCTCAGGTTAGAAGGAGGGTCACATTCATGATGCAGACAGATCACTTTGGCAGAGGCACGTGGGGAATGAATTTGAATTCTTCTGCCTCTGCCAGTGCTTCCTGTGCGTTTGGAGGACTGCCCCCCTTTGCTTGGCTGCAGCGGTACCAGGCAGTTGATAGGAAACGTTTGCGGCTCCTCCGTGTTTCCTGTTAACGGCGCCTCCACCTGCCTGTTGCAATTGGAGAATCATCTTGGGTGATTCTTTCTCCCTGAGTCTTATATTCAATCCATCGCTGATTCTTGACAATGTTTCCCCCCAGCATCTCTAAATGCCTCCTCTCCTTTCTACCCTGACCTGCTTATCCAGGTTAGTCCTTGGTTACCCCCCACCAGAAGCCTTCAGTACCTCTCACCTGCCCCGACCTGTGCCAAGCTCCGCACTCCCCCAGATCATGTTTCCATTTGGCTGTCAGGAAAGATAAATCTCCCGTGTCATTGCCTTGCTCGGAGGTGTTCCAAGTGGCCTCACTGCCTGCAGGGTGCAGCGTGGTCCCCTAGACTGGCTCTTCTGCTCTCCAGCCATTCCCCTTGCCCGGGATGCTCTGGCAAGACTGACCTTGAGCTCTGCAGGCTCACTGGCTCTCCTGCTTTTCTGTCACTGCGTGAGCACTTGCTTCTCTCCAAGATACTCTTCTCTCTCTGCTTCCCTGGAAAGCTCTTCTGCAGTCCTCAAGTCTTGGCCCAAGCCGAATGTGATGCACCTCTGTCATGGCCTCATAGCACCAGTGATTGACCTTATAGCCTTTTCACTCTATTATCCCTCATTAAATAGTCCCATCCACTAGGCTACGAGATGCCTGAGGGCAAGGAATGGATCTCACGCCTAGAGCCCAGTCTAGTGCCGGATCTCTTTTATTCTAGGTAGAACTTTCTATGTATGCTTAAGGCTTCATAAAGTATGTTTATTAGCAAAGGATTGCTCAATTAGCTGTCATATTCCTGTAAGATCGAAAGCTTCTCCTGAATAATAAGAAAAATCTCCTTTAGATGTCACCTGTAGGGGCCAGAGGGTGGATCCGAACCACGTGCATCTGCGTAAGAAACTTGTCCCGCCAGGTCCCTCCATCTCGCAGGCCCTGGGAGCCATGAGACATGTTATGTGTGGCTGGTGAATGAGCTGATCCTTGTTAGGGAAGGTCAGACGTACAAACAGACTCTGGCTGTGCGTGCTCACGGCCAGAAGAATTAGGCTTCTCGTGAGAATAAATCTGAGGCCTTAAAGAAACCAAGGGATTTCCTTGGTTTCCTTGGTTACCTTTGTAGGCATCCTTTATGGAGCAGTTAGTGTCAGGCTGGGGACTGACTATAACTGCCTGGTATTATCGGTAAACCTTGTAGGTCAAAGGAGCAATAGGAAATGACGTTGACTTTGAAAAAGAAATAGAGAGCATGGGTGGCACCGATGATCACATGAATTAATAATGTAAGATTTGTAAGCCAAGTAAAACTTATGGGGAGGCGTAGTGATTTAAAAAAAGTATTGGCACTGTGTTCCAAGCCTCATGAAGGATCGGGCAAGTGTGCAAGCATGTGGGAGACATGTGTGTCCCAGAATAAAACTTTGTTGTAACTGCTCCAGGAAGATGTCGCTGGGCTGCACGTTGCAGTGAGGGCAGGGTTACTTGATTGGGATCATTTCCCACTCTGTATGTGAACTAGCTGAGAGGCAAGCTTTGCTGATCTAATTTATAAATTTAAGAGAGGACGGCAGAAGGGATTATGAAAAAAAAAAGGGAGTGGAGACTTTGTCAAAAGCTAGCAGTGCGTTTATCATGTGGGAATAGTGGTACTCTGCCAAAACCACAGAAAGGAAACTGTGATCTGAGTGGAGAACTTTTATATTTGTATAGAATTAGAAAATTATTTCAAGATTAACATTATTCTAAAAATATTTTAGAAAATCACCTTTAAAAAATGTGTTCGCAAATAGCTATTTCAATCCCTTAAGCATGTTGAAAAAAGTAACTCTGAAGATACTGCCCTATCAGTCTATTTATAAAAATAGTTCATGCAACTATAGTTTTCAAAGGGGAAAGGGGTTGAGGTGGTGAAAACTCATTGAATATTGACTGTTTTCCTTGATTTGCAGCAATACCGTGAAGAACTGGATGCCAAGTTTAATGCTGATAAATTTAAATGGGACAAAATGTGCCATAGAGAAGCTGCAGTTATGTTGAAAGCATTTTTCAGAGAACTGCCCACATCTCTCTTTCCTGTGGAATATATACCTGCCTTCATCACTCTGTTGGAAAGTAGGTGGAAGGAGTTGAATATGAATGGACTAAGATACAAGGCCAATAAAGTAACAGCAGAACAGAGATGCATAATCAAATGTGATCATGTATAGATTTGCTATTTCCTCACAACGGTTGCTGAAATGTTAAGTTTGATGCTAAGCAGTCACCTATTTACATACTTAATATATTTAAGTCTGGGAGACATGATTTAGACAGTTTTATAATCATTAAAAGGCAGAAGGGTTTATAGAAAGACCAGGCTCTTGAGATTTGAATTCCTGCATGGCCATCTATTAGCCATGCAGTCAGACTTTCTGAGCTTCAGTTGCTGCATCTGTAAATTACAGAAAATAATTACTTGTCAGGGTTGCTGTGGGTGTTGAATGGAGTCATCCAGAGTGGAGCCTGGGATGTAATCATCTGTCAAAAACTATGGGTCTCTCCCTTCCTTAAATCTGAGCTCCTGGGACTGATTATGCAGCAAACAATAAATGCTACACAGAATATGTTTTGTCTCTGAAAATTACAGTATCACATAGTGTTTCCAAGAATTACAAAGTCACATAGATTAGGTTTTAAGTGAGGTACTGGGTGAAAGCACAGAAACTGTAAAGCGTGTGTTGTATTTGGCAGTTGGTGACTGATTTGGTATGGTTCAAACATAAGGTTGAATATTGCAGAGGATGTGGCAAGAGAAAAATTTAGAAAAATAGAAGGGGACTAGGTAGTGGGGGCTTTAACTACTAGCCTGGGAAGTTCAGGGGTCAAAAGCCTAAATATGTACAAGCATGTTAAGTAAATGGTGGTTCTACATGGGTAGAAAAGGGCTGCAGTATCGTAACTATGCTCAACGATGTGAAGGAAAATGTGCTCATAATAAATGAAAAGATAGATCACCTCAGCAGATAAATAGAAAATATTTAAAAAGCACCAACTGGAAATCCAGAACTGAAAAACTACCTATAAAAAAAGAACGAAGGGAATTTATAGTTCTTCTCTCTTTTTCTCTTTCTTGTCAAGTTTCTCTCATAAAATGAAAGCACTAGATCTTACAAAGAAGAGACACTGGTCACAGACAGCTTAGAAAAGGACTGCCTTGCCTACCATGGTCTCTCCTTTGAGAACACAGAAGATTATTTTACAAATCTGGTTTAGTTAAAAATTTCAAAGATTTAGAACCTACTAATTTTTAGGACAAATGTCGTCATTCAGCTGAGGATCAATTATTTTCTGTCATCGTGGTCTTAATGATTATATAGTTCCGGTCAACCTGTAGTAGGTTGTCAACTGGCAGGTACAGATTATCACTTGTTAAGCTCACACAGCATCTTAAGATTTAAATCTGTGGCTGACATTTTCAAATTAACAGTTTTCTCTAGGCAGGCACAGTTGCACATGTCTGTAGTTCCAGCTACTTGGGAGGCTGAGGTAGGAGGATCCTTCGAGCCCAGGATTTTGAGGCTGTTGTGCAATATGATTGTGCCTATGAATAGCTACTGCCCTCCAGCCTGGGCAATATTGTAAGACTTCACCTCTTTAAAAAATAAATTTAAAAAAAATTTTTTTAAGAGTTTTCCCATTAATGCTAGCATTTGGTTCTCAGTCCCACATGGCAACCATTATCTAGAGCTAGGCAGCAGCAGTGTCTCTAGCTGGGACGGTCCTCTCAGTTTGGCTACAGCCCTTTTCTACCTACATAGAACCACCATTTACTTAACGTGCTTGTAGAGAAATGGCACCGAGAGACTGGCCCAGTTTTCTGGCTTTTAGCCTGTGGTCAGGGTGCGGTCAGTGCTCCCTACGGCAGCTCAAACTCCAAGACAAGCCCAGTCGCCCTGGTCTCAGCAACCAGAGGACAGGACCCAAGGCAACCACAGCCCCTGGAAAGTGACAGGGAGAATCCCAGAAAGGAGAGACCCAGAGACGGAAGGCCCCAGTTCTGGTATAGACTCCACCCAGACCTCAGGCGAACCCACAAACCGTGCGCATGTGGGCAAGAGAGCGAAGGATTAAATAACTGAACTGAGAGTTGAGCTGCTGTCCGAAAGACCACTGACAACTTGAATCAGTCCAGCAAATTGTCTGCTTAAAACAACAACAGCAATAAAAAAAACCCAAAGAGCACTCTTTGGAGAAATACCACAGAATCCGGAGTCTCCAAACACAATATTCACAATGTTCAGAATAGACTGGAAACTTACTTGACATACAAAGTAACAGGGAAGTGTACCCCATTCTCAAAGACAGAGACCTACCCCGAGATAACCCAGACGTTGGAGCGAGCAGGTAAGCCCTGACCGCAGGCCGAAAGCCAGAAACCTGGGCCGCTCTCCGGTGCCCTTCCCAGATCCAGGTGTGCAGTCGCTCCCGAATGCGCCTGCTCTCGTCTACTCTCCACAGCCTCAGGTTGTTGCGTTTTGTGCTTTGTCCAGAGATTATTGTTATCTTCAGGAGCTTACTCGGCAATGCCAGAAACAGAATTCTGTCTCTTTTTTTAAGTAAAACAAAAAAAAAGCGACAGGATTTTCTGTGGAGTTTGCTCCCTAGAAAATGGGCTGCAGAATTATTAATTTCCCCTTGATCTGTGGTTTATATGCTAAACAATTTATCACAACAAACTGCTGCCACAGAGGTGTTTTCCGTTTTTGTTTTTTGGTATTATGAATTACGCAAGAAAAAGTCAAACCGCCAGACCTGTTCAGAGTACCATATTTAAGAAAGGCATGAAAATGCTAGTCTCCTATCACCAGCGATCCCTATCCGACTGCAGCCAGTGCACTTCCTGAAGGGAGAGGACATGAAAAATACCCTGAAAGGGATCACAAAGGAACCCACATTTCTTTGTATGACTTTGGAAGTGAAAAAAATACCATATTGTAGGTGATTGATTTGACACCAGCCAACCCTGCAGGAAGCCCAAAGTTCTGGCCTGGTACCAGCAGGAAATAATTGCCTTTTTGCCACATAAAGTAAGCTCTAGTTATAACACAATTCTCTGAAGGGGAAAATTGTGAACATGCACGTGTGTGTGTTTAAGCTGCCCCCCTTGGTACGCTAAAATGCAGCTCAGAGAATCTATCGTCTTTCCCACTAGTGTAATTACTTTCTCTTTTCAAACCTGGCCCTAAAAAATTGTTCATAAAATTAAAGGACTAATAGTTCATCAATCAAGCCTTAGATCCTTTCACAAAAAGCTTAACAACTTTCTGGGAAAATAGTGACCTCAGGAAAAATAATACTCTAGACTACGATGCATTAAATGGATTAACTGCAAAACGATTAACCACAAAACAGTGTAGGGCCAGGTTTCCTAAGTAAAGTGAAAATGGATTACTTGCCAAATTAGATTTTTCTTTGTAAGGGCAACTTCATAATTTCTCTGAACTTGATGAAAATACAGAGGTCCCAAACCTACATCTGCATCTCTTGTTTTTTCTTCCAGAGGTTTTTTTGGATTGCGTTGGAAGATTAGAGACAGCCCTCACCCTGCAGTTTATGCACTAAAATAATATTTTATCTGCCCCTAAATACTTTGCACTGAGACATGCTCTTAATAGCTCCTATTATTCAGGCAAGCTCATGTCTGTGTATTAGCCATTTTCAATAATATCCAGGACCTGTGTCATTTTTGGCTTACAAATTTGGCATCAATATCTAAAAATCCACACGATCCCATCCTGTAAGTACTCCGCCCACTGTTCCTTTATTACATGGCTGTATACACTACTGTCTATTCCCTAACTCTGGCACACACAACCTCCCTAGACCTGGTAGCCTGTCCCAAGAGTGTTCAGCTAGCTAGCTGACTGCCTTTCAGCCATTGCATATAGATAGATTTTCCTTCAATTTGAGAACTCCCCATGGATTCCAGAACATAACACTTTCCTCCAGGAGCTCCCTGCCCAGAGATCATTTTGAGGGGAACACAGAAAAACAGAGGAAAGCTGGAATTCTCTGGTGTGCACTAAACTTTCAGCACAGCTGGTTGTGGCTCCTCCAGTTGTGGATGGAATCCCCAGTGTAACTGCCAACCCTCTGGCGCCATCTTGTGTCATTGTTAAGGAATAAAAACTCAACAGTCTCCAAAGATTAAACCACAGTCACCTAAATTAAATGTCCATGTAAGATCTGGAATAAGTGTCATTGATCATAAAAACAAGAGCAAACACAGAAAGATGTATAGGTCCTGACTGAAACACTGCATACATCTATCCAACTGACCCTCACGGCAGTCCTGTGAGGTGGGTACGAGGACCATTCCCACCTTACAGATGACAAAATAGAAGCCACAAGGGGTTAAATAGCCTGTCCAAGGTCACACAGTGACTAAGTAGTAGATGTAGGATTTGAACTTGGTTCCAGAATCTATGTTCTTAACAATTATACTTTGCTGCCTCGTTATGTAGAAGCAAAGTTTATTTTCTCTTAAGTTGAGCTTAAACTTTCTCTTCTTTTTATAAAAGTAAGGCAAGGACTGTGCAAATACTTAAAAAAGGCAAATGTTATCCAAATTCAGAATCCATTTGAGGATCTCGCTGGCCACCTGCCTTGACAGAGGCGTCGTGGGCTGTGAAAGGGAGTCGATAGATGGGGGCTCCTGTCCAAGTGAACAAATCTACGTTGTTGGGCACAAAACCTGAGTCCTTCCCGTGGAAAGCTGTCAGGAGCCCTCCTGTGCTACCAGATGCTCGTAAGAGATGCTGTCAGAACGCATCAGTGTTATTTAAAATGTATGATTATTTCTGTTTTCTTGTTAGGAGGACCTCACGTCAAAGTACAATTCCAAGCCTTACACCTCATGATCATGGCACTGCCTGATGCCAACAGGGATACAGCCCAGGTACGTCCTGTCAACCTCACGGTCTGTCACTGGTCTCTTACAGCTCAGAGGAAATGGCTCTTATGGGAAAATGAAAACAGAGATGGCAACTTACAAAGCCACCTGTGCATGCTGCAAGCGCACTGCCTTTGCAAGCTCCTGCTGCCACTCTCCGGAGGAAGACAAGAAAGAATGGAGATCCTGGGATCTTCTTTAAGCCATTGAAGTTTCACTCACTCCATTCATTCAAAAAATATTAAGTGTGTATCCTGTGCCAGGCACTGGGCGAAGTGTTACACTCAAGAGAGGCCAGGATGAAAGGCTTGAGTGAACAGTGCCAGAAGTAAATGGGACTATTATGTAACTTGTACAATATAACACTATAATTGTTGGTCCTCAGCTGCTTACTGTAGTCTAATGGGCTCATGTGGCAGAAAAAAATCTTATGAGGAGGGGAGGAAATTTGAAATCACTGATTTAAATTAAATGTCTAAAATGTTCATGTTTTAAAATCTATGAAGATAATTCAGTTTAAATAATTCTAGAATTTCAGAATTTTAGAGATCACCTGATAGAATTAGGTCATTTTACAGATTGGGAAAATGAAACTCAGAAAAGTGGTTTCTCCACTTAATGTGCCATAGAACATTTCATAAAATCATGTTCTATAGTTCTTCATCCTAAATATACCTTTGTTTATTTCCAGTTCATTTCTTTGCTGCATGTTGGTAAAAATCAAAGTTTCTCTTATTGTTTGAATAATGATTCCATATATAATAAGAAATTTATTATAAGTATAACAGATATTTGGAATCTTTGAAATGAAATTGAGATAAGGATGATTTGAAAAGAGCCAATAATTTTGAAGCCAGTGAATAATAATGAAAACAAAGGTAATTCCTAGTGTTCCCTCACATGGGACGTTTCAGTGTGGTAAGGATCTCCCCACACAGTGGAAAATCCATGTCAATTATATTATGTCCTCCATGCAAGGAGGGGGATTGTGGCCTGAAAATGTCTAATATCATTCAGTAATTTTTCAAAAACTAGAAATTTATGAGCTTGGTTTTTTTTTTTTTTTGACTTTGTCTAAACAATATTCTTTTGTCCAAAAACAAATCTATCTGGTATCAAATATCTCAGTCAAAATGTCATCTAACCTTTCTAGTAACTGAGAATGCAGCAGTTATCAAATAATTTATTTCTAACAAAAGATCTCCCCCAAACATCACAGGACTAGTGAAGATGTTACACACACATTCCTTTTTTCCATACTAAATTGGGACTGGACCTTAGATTGAAGCTGGCATGGTATAGATGTCAAGAACTCCAGCTCAAGAGTTGGGCTCCTTGTTCAGAATCTGGCCCTGCCACTTCATTAACTGACGATGGGCAAGGCTGCCCGGTCCCCCTCCCCCTCAGCGTCCTCGTGTAAAATAATAATGATAGCACCTAGTGTACAGGGTTTGGGATGATGATGAATAAATACATATAAAGTACTAAAAATAATGCCTGGCTCATAATAAACCCTTGAATAAATATTAACTATTAATACTATTATGTGCTGTACATTTTCTCATTACAAATACTGTGTAGTAGAATTCAAACTTGGGAGACCAAAGAGCACTTCCTTTTGGGATTTTAGTCTTTCAGTACTTCCTCTTGGTTCATTTCAGAAGGTTTTGATGAGTATCTATACTTTGATGGCTCAGTAAACTTTTATTAAGCTTTCTCAATTTTTTTTAAAATGCTTAGAACAGCTGCACACAAGCATTTTGCCTTTGGCCAGCTGAAGATTTCAAAATTGAAAAGCAATAGAAAAATAGCACTCAAAAAGTAAAACTTTTTGATTTTTCAATTGAATTTACGTTTAGACTGAGGAATGAGATACTCATGTAGTTTAAATGGGTTTTCTTTTCCCCAGGAAACAGTAACTAGTTTTTAACAGTAATACTTTGAGTTAAGGGTCTTTTTCATAGTTTTATTCCTTCACAATAAAACAAAACTGCCTTTACTGGCCAGGCAGAAAATGGCCAGAAAATGTGGTAGCTCACGTGAGCCTGTAATCCTAGCACTCTGGAAGGTCAAGGAGGGAGGATCGCTCAAGGTGTCAGGAGTTCAAGACCAGCCTGAGTAAGAGTGAGACCCTGTCTCTACTAAAAAAATAGAAAGAAATTATCTGGACAACTAAGAATATATAAAATTAGCTGGGCATGGTAGTGCATGCCTGTAGTCCCAGCTACTCGGGAGGCTGAGGCAGCAGGATTGCTTGAGCCCAGCAGTTTGAGGTTGCTGTGAGCTAGGCTGATGCCAGGGCACTCTAAGCCCAGACAACAGAGCAAGACTCTGTCTCAAAAAAATAAAAAACTGCCTTTTCATGTTTATGGAGCTGCAGTGTTTTGTCATCCTGGTTTATATTTAATTTTAATATTTGTCAAACTTGTTTAGGATAAAAGAAAATAGGAAAATGCAAACTATCATTTATAGAGACTCCAGTATAATAAATTACATAAAAATGGACCTGCTTCTGTGAAGCAGACAGTTGAATAAACTGCTCACATTCTTCTAAGCACTTGTAGGCAGTGGAAGGAGAAACACCGCACAGTTACGCGTTCTGTACTTCTGACAGTTCTCCAGTGGCACAATGAATAGTATAAAATGAACAATAGCAATTAGCGGCACCCTTTGACAGTTTACGAGAGCATGACACAATGCTGTCTCTTGTTAGGCCCTCATGACGTTCTTCAATAAAGTGATTGCCAACGAATCAAAAAACCGAATGAGTATGTGGAACATTTCTACTGTAATGGCACCAAACCTTTTCTTCAGCAGAAGCAAACATTCCGATTACGAAGAATTACTGTTAGCAAGCACCGCGGCCCACATCATCCGCCTCATGCTTAAGTACCAGAAAATCTTGTGGAAGGTGAGTCCCAGAGTGACAACAGTCAGGTTCTCCTGGGAAGTCCACAGCCCCAGGAAGCGTAAAGGTGCTCGAGCAATTCCCGTAGTCCTCAGGAGGAGATACTCACCGAGAAGATAAGCCAGGCTGCTCGTGGCTTCCTCGCACAGCCTGTCAGGGCTGCTCTTGAACACGGGCTCCCTCTTAGACAGGATTCCTCATAGTTCTTTGTAAGCTTTACAAGGGCAGACGCACAGTTCCTGGTGCCAGGATACTGAGGGTGAGATGGCGTTATCTTACGTAACTGAAGCCAGAATCCACTAGGGAGGTTGAGTTCAAGCGTTTCCTTTAGTCAAGCTATTTTTCTTCTGTAGGTTCCATCTTTCTTGATCACTCAAGTGAGGAGGATGAATGAAGCCACCATGCTGTTGAAGAAGCAGCTGCCAAGCGTGCGGAAGCTGCTCAGGAGGAAGACCATAGAACGGGAGGTAACAATGGCGGATGAGGGCGCAGGGACAGCTCACTGCGTGGATTTGTAGTTCTCAAAGGGGGGCACAGAGACCTTGTAATTTAGAACCAAAACTTCTATATTCTTATGAATATAGTCACAGTCTTGTGACTATAAGCATATGGAAAGTGGGTCCATACCAGGGTACTGTGGTCTTTCCATGTTGCTGAGTTTTGTGCTTTGTGGTTAAAATTCTGGAAATATCTCTATCATGAAGATGGTTTCACATTCTGTTAAGTACTCACCAGGGAGGTTAAAATGATTCTCACAGAAACTGATGTTTAAGTCCTATGAATTCAATTTAAGGGCAATCCAGTACCCAGTATGTCTAACACACAGGGAAAGAGATTTCTTTAGTGACTGGATGATAAAGGAATAGCTAGTCCTCAAATTGTTTTGTGTAAATTCATTGCATTCCAAACAATTTGGAATTTTGTTTTATCACAGTTATTTGTGTGGAGCAGTACATAATGGAAACAGATTTTAGAAGACTTATCTTTATTGCCTTTATTTACTTAGAAGATGATCACAAATGCCAGGCATTGCATTCAACCTGGAGAAGGAGGCAGACATACTTGAAATTCACTTTGTTCTTAAAGGAACTTGCACCCAATGTGGGAGACAAATGTGCATGTGGCCCTGAATACCCAGCAGCGAAGGTCCAGGCTGGCTGTGCCAGGCCAGGCAGATGGCAAGGAAAAGTGCTCCCACGTGGGAAACCGTGGTGGCTTTATGGAGGACATGGCACTGGGGCTGCATCTTGAAGGCTGGGTGGTGCTGCGAAAGGAGGAGGGCAGGGAAAGTTCATCCAGGGAAAGGGAATAGTAAATGCCAAGGCAGTGGGGTGGGAGGGAGTGTTGCTAACTGATTTGTCACCGTCATGGTGAATGGCTGTCTTCCTTACTGCTTACAGGCAAAGTGACTTCATAGCAAGTAGGACCAATACTTTTATTTGGAAATAAAATTTAATTTGTTTTAATTGAGAAAGTATTCATGTAACATAAAATCATTATTATAAGCATTTCAAAATGTACAATTCAGTATTGTTTTAGTATATTCATAATTTTCTGCAACTATCACAGTACACATGGTTTCCATTAGTTTGAGCATATTGAAAATAGCTTATTTGAAGGCTTTTTCTAATAAGTCCAATGTCTCAGCTTCCTTAGACAATTTCTTTTGAAACTATCGAAACTGCTTTTTTTTTTTTTTTTAACCGATGTATAGGTGACATTTCCTTGGCTTTTTTGCCTGTCTCATAACTGTTTTTTGAAGACTGGGCATTTTGAATATTAGAATGTGACAATCTTGGAAATCAGATTCTTTCCCCTGCCCAGAGCCTGTTGTAGCTGTTTGTTTGTTTGTTTGTTTAGTGACTTTTCTGCTGCACTGATTTTGTAAAGTCTGTATATTTTGTTTTGTGTGGCTACAGAAGTCTTAATGGTTAGCTAATGATTGGACAGAGATTGTCTCTTTTTTCTTGAGACAGAGTCTCACTCTGTTGACCAGGCTAGAGTGCTGTGGCGTCAGCCTAACTCACAGCAACCTCAAACTCCTGGGCTGAAGCAATCCTCCTGCCTCAGCCTCACGAGTAGCTGGGACTACAGGCATGCCCCACCATGCCCGGCTAATTTTTTACATATATTTTGGGCTGGCCAATTAATTTCTTACTATTTATATTAGAGACAGGGTCTTGCACTTTCTCAGGCTGGTTTCCAACTCCTGACCTTAAGCGATCCTCCCTCCTCGGCCTCCCAGAGAGCTAGGATTACAGGCATGAGCCACCACACCCAGCCCAGAGATTGTCTTAAATGCCTAGAACTAAAACAGCCCCCAGTCTTGGCAGGTGAGCTCTGGTGTTTGCTGGGGCACGCTCAGCGCTCAGCCGGGCAGTGTGTAACTCTGCCCGAGCCCTTGCCTATTGTGTGCACAGAGCCTGAAGGTCAGCCAGAAGTGAAAGCAGATGTTCTTTTCAGGTCTTTCCTGAGCATGTGCACAGGGTTGGGTATGCATGTGGCCTTTTAGATGTTCAGGAATATATCAGAGCTTTTCAAAGCCTTTATTCCTTAAAGCATCTCAAATCCCTGCTGTCTAAGTTTTTTAGTTACGCATTGTTTTCCCTAATCCTTATTTACTGCATCAGGCAGCTGTAACTAAAACATTTGCCTACAAATGTTTTTAACGCCCGCTTAGTACTTGTCAAGTTCCATGTTAGGCAAGATAAAGGCAAACCTTTCAAGCCGGTCTTCCAAGGAGCCACCGGACAGGTGAGAACAAATTATTAGAATTCTTTGTGAGTGAGGTCTGTTCCGCTCCCATATCTGTGCCAGGAGTTCGGGCTGTTATTTTCAAGGCTATGGCTCAACTGGGCAGTGGGGAAAGCATAAGTTACAATGACACACCGCTGTTTCTTTTATTTACGCACTCCCCTGCTCACAGATTTTGGGTTAGTATGCAGAGTTCTGGAAAAGTCAGTACTGACAGTTTTTGCCAGTTTGTCTGTTGCTTTCATGGAGGGGAAGACCTTTGGCGTTTCTTACTCTGTTATTTTAATCCTGGAAAACTTTAATGGCATAAGTATGATACGTGTGGAGCTGAAGCCAGGTCAGGTCAGCCTTTGCCAATTGCTAGCCATGTGGGCTGGGGCAAATTAAATTTTTTCTTTGAGCCTTAATGTTCTTATAAATCTGGGGGGAAAGTAATGATATGTCTATTTCACAGAATTGCCATTAGGATTGACTCTCATAATGTGTGTGTAAATCACATTTTAAACTGTACATGGCTATGTGAATGTCATTTGTTTTAATGTCTTAGTTGTCAATAGAACAGAGACTTCGAAGGTCATAAATACTATGGAAGCAACACTTAAAGAACAGTCTTCCTTTAGTTCTATTGTACTATATACAGTGTTTTTAATTCTTAACTTTGATTGCAATAGACAGTTCATTAACAAGTTACCAATTCAAAAGCTAGGAAAGACTATAGAATAAAAATTAAACACTTCTTACTTCCTCTCTTGGAGACAAATAATGTCACTGATAGCAGGGCTTGTGTGCACAGGAACATAGTGGTATTATATATACCTCCAGAGATCGAGCAAATATATGCTCTTCCCCCTTTTTTCTGTGAATAGTAGCATACAGGAAATACTGTGCTGCATCTTGCTTTACTAGAGTAAGAAATCATGGGGATTATTCCATATCAGTCCATAAAACCTGCTTGCTTTGCATGATATTCCATAGACACGCAATAATTTATTTAAGTAATCCCATATTATAGAACAGTTAGATCGTGTCTAATCTTATGCTATTACAATTCCTGCTTCAGTGAATAAAATTCTATAGATATCATTTTTAACAAATGAATTATATTCATAGGGTAAATTTATAGATATGGAATTGTTGGGTCAAAGTGCATATATTTTAAAAATTTGATAAATATCACCAAAATGTTTTCCATAAAGATTGCACCAGTTTGCACTTCCAAAAGCAGAATATGCTTGTTTTTCTCAACTTTAATCCTAAAGACTAAATGTGTTTCCTTTAGATTACAAGCCCCAAGACTTCAAAGGTATTACAAAAATCACCCTCTTCAAGAAGAATGGTAAGAAAACAAATGATTTCCTTTCTCTCTTAACTATTAGCTCCCTATGTGGTATTCTTTGGCTACATCCACCATATTCATGTATAATTTTGGTCATGATCTATGCTTCAAACTTGACATTTTCAGTGAGGCATGTGAAAGAATGGCACAGGGACTTGACTAGCAGGTGATTCCAGGTGTGTGCTCAGGCATCCCACACACAGCTATGAATGCTGTAGAAAGTTGTAGGGTGAATATTATTATTACAGTCATAGGTCGAATAATGTTAGAGCATGGAATTTACCTCATAGAAGCTTCTGGGGACCTGGGAGGGGAGGGACATGAGATGGTCAAAGGAGGATTTTAGGAGTACAGCCTTGGGTGCAGTGAACCAGGGCCTCTGCCTCCTCCCAGATCCACGTCCCTCAATATCTCTTCCCTGACATGCTCTCATGTTTCTTACTGGTGATGTTAGGAAAGTGCTATAAGAACTGATCCTATTTAAAAATATATTAGCCGGGCGCAGTGGCTCACACCTGTAATCCTAGCACTCTGAGAGGCCAAGGTGGGCGGATTGTTGGAGCTCAGGAGTTCAAGACCAGCCTGAGCAAGAGCAAAACCCCGACTCTACTAAAAAAGAAAGAAATTAATTGGCCAACTAAAAATATATAGAAAAAATTAGCCGGGCATGGTGGCACGTGCCTGTAGTCCCAGCTACTCGTGAGGCTGAGGCAGGAGGATCGCTTGAGCCCAGGAGTTTGAGGTTGCTGTGAGCTAGGCTGATGCCATGGCACTCTAGCCTGGGCAGAGTGAAACTTTGTCTCAGAATAAATAAATAAATAAAAATATTTTATATTAGGGCTTCCATAACAAGTTGCCACAAACAGGGTAGCTTAAAACAATAAAAGTTTATTCTCTCACAGCTCTGGAGGCTAAAATCCAAAATCAAGGTGTCCCAGGGCTGTGAGAGAAGTGTCTGTTTCTTGCACCTCTCCTAGCTTTTGGTGACTCCAGTAATCCTTGGCGCTTCTTAGCATGTAGACAGGTCACCCTACTCTCTGCCTCCATCTTCACACGGTGTTCTCTCTCGTGTGTGCCTCTGTCTCTCCTCTCACGGGGACACCAGTCACCCTGGCTGAAGGGCCCACGCTGCCCCAGTTTGGCCTCATCTTAACTCATCGCAACTGCAATGGCCCTGTTTCCGAACACGGTCACATTCTAAGGTGCTGAGGGGTAGGGCTTCAGCCTGTCTTTGGGAGATACATTCGACCCCTAACATATTCATCGTAGGCCACGTATCGAGTTGATTCACATAAACCGTCCTTCTAGAAGGTACAGATTTGAAGTCATTACCTGAGAAGTCGCCACATTCTCAAACAAATAGAAGTTTGTCTGTTTATCTCCTGGATACAGAATTAATTAAAAGATTAGAACATTCAAAATTTTGAAACAAAAGGAATTTTCCAGTCAATTCTGACAAAACAGAAATTTCTGTTAATCAGACAGCATCATTCTTGGAACTTTCCATTTAGTTTTAGCCCAGTTAGACTAAAAGAAAACAAAACGAATATTCCATGCAGATGAGAGCACGGAGGTCCCGGCCAGTCACGTCGTGGGGAAGCAGAGTCGCCGTCCTCCCGACCGCCGTGCACGGGGTCTGCTCAGTGTCGTGGCACACGGGGAGGGAGCGCGTTTCAAGTGCCCACGTGGGTTCAGTTTGGGCCTTTGATGTTTGCTAACTAAAGGGGGTATTGAAGAAGCCATATTTTCTAATGGAGCCTTACAATTTTCAGAAAGTTGATCTTATTATAATAACTTACAGATTTCTGCTTAAAGTAGGCTTATTTAGGACTTTGTTCAATAAGTGCATTGATAGAAACATTTGATTTCTGTCATAACCCAGATTTATCCCTCTCAGGATTTCAAGGCATTGTAGCAGAAGTAAATCCCAGGTTCAGTCTAGCCATTAGTGCGTCTCCAGGAAAAAACAAAAAAAAGCATCGTTTCGTTCTGGTTAAATATAGGTCATGTTCACTTGTTTTCGTAATTCAGAGCCCCACTGATTCTCATGTCTCTTAAGTGCACGCTGGACTGACACTGACCGCGGTCTGACAGAATGTGTGCATTTCTCCCCATTGGCAGTCTGACGTGCCCGAGGGAGTCATTCGCGTCCACGCTCCTCTTCTCTCCAAGGTGTCCATGGCCATTCAACTCAACAGTCAAACCAAAGCCAAAGACATACTGGCGAAATTTCAATTTGAGAACAGGTGAGTACCTGTGAATGAAGGTCTCTGCACAAAGAAGATGAACCTTTATCAGATGAGAAACATTCCAGGCACTTACAAATTTGGCCTTTTGAAAAGTTACAGCCTGTTTCTTTGGGGACTGTACCACTAGATTATTAGAGTAAAAAGCAGAGAACGAAATTAGTAGGTACAGATTTGCCAGTAACAAAAATTGTTTTTAAAGGAATTTCTGCAAATAGAATTTTTAATAGGTATCATCTGTCTTGGGAGGTTCCTTTATTCAATGAGTCTTACCTTTTAATAGAATGAAAAATATAGCCAGTTAATTTTGCAGATCTCATGATAGTTCCAGGAATATGCTTCTTCGAGGCTCCATTGGCCTTTTACAGTATCAGGTAGAGTTTATGTAGTTAAGTGGGCAGCATAACTATTGCTTTCCTTTAAACATACTGCTAATGATTCTTAGGATCAGAATGATACAAAAATTCTCTTTGCATATCTACCATCGGCACCTTAAAAGAGCGTAAATCACAATAATTTTTGTCTAGGTATGCTTACCCAAGGATGAACATTTGCCCTGAGGTTTCTAAAAGATGAGAAGCGCTGGTTTAGATTTATTCATGGAAGAGCAGGTATAGTTTGATGGTCTCTAGTAAAACTGATGGATAACTTTTAAAAAAAGCATTCTAATCATACTAAAAAAGAGTAGCTTTGTTGAGCAGAAAAAGCCCATTGGAAAGCTTACACATTGCATGATTCCATTTATGTAACATTTCTGATGTGGCAACATTTCATAAATGGAGGCTAGACTAGTTGCCAGAGGCTGGGAGGGATCATTCAGAAAGGAGATGGGTGTTGGTTACACAAGGGCAACAGGAAGAACCCTGATGGTGTTGGAACTGGGGTACTGGACTCTTGACTGTAGTGGTGGATAAACGAGCCTCTATGCAATTCTACTGAACTTAGTGCACAGCACAAGTAAGTAGAAGTAAAACTCAGAAATCTGAAGAAGATAAGTGGATTATCAATATCAATATCCTGATTGTGACAGTATGCTATAGTTCTGCAAAATGTTACCTTTGGAGAAAATGGGGCAAAGGGTACAAAGAATCCTTCTGTATTATTTCTTACAGCAGCTGCATGTAAATCTGCGATTATCTCTACAAACATTTCAATTAAAAGAAAAACAGGGCCGGGCGTGGTAGCTCACGCCTGTAACCTTAGCACTCTGGGAGGCCGAGGCGGGAGGATTGCTCGAGGTCAGGATTTTGAGACCAGCCTTTGCAAGAGCAAAACCCCGTCTCTACTAAAAATAAAAGAACTTGTCTGGACAACTAAAAATATATAGAAAAATCAGCTGGGTATGGTGGCGCATGCCTGTAGTCCCAGCTACTCAGGAGGCTGAGGCAGAAGGATCGCTCCAGCCCAGGAGTTTGAGGTTGCTGTGAGCTAGGCTGACACCACCACACTCTTGCCTCCAGGCAACAGAGTGAGACTCTGTCTCCAAAAAGAAAGAAAGAAAAGCAGGAGTAGCCAGTAAAAGTAATCCACAGTGTTAGAAGTCAGGATGGTAATTTTTCTGTTGGGAGTGGAAAGCATGGTGACCAAGAAGGCATGTGGATGGCTTCCACAAAGTTCTTTTTTTTAGATATGAGGCTATTTACATGGTATGTTCACTTTGTGAAAATGATTCATCAACCGTATCGTTATGATTTGTGTACCTTATGCATGGTGTATGCATACCTTATGTTTAAAAAGGATGAGAAGAGTAAACAGAGCAGAGGCCAACAGGAGCTCCAGACACGTGCCTGGGCGCCTGCAACACTGTGAACGCAGAGTCACCACTGGGCACTCATAGAAGGACTTGAAATGTCATTTGAGGGACCTGGGCATCTAACAGAGTCCTAGTTACATGCGTGATGAAACTGGCTCTGTATTCTCTAGTAGATATTTCATAGAAAGAAAGTGTTTCTAATAAAAATAAAGTAGAACCAATGACTTCACAGATGGACTCAAAACAGTTATAACAACTACAAAAGACCTTGCTTCACACATTCTCTTTACTTGTTAGAACTGTGGCCCATGTCAGTTCAAATGTAAACTGGCCCCAGATATTTTGTCTGTTTCACCAGAGGCTTATTTTCCGACTGCCCGCTCACGGCCCCATGTGTCTTAAGTCACAAAGGGCTGGGAGTCCTATTCCTCCCAGGTCCTCCCTCTTGCATCTAAACACCTTGGACCCAACACAACCAACAGCAGAAGATTCTGAAAGGTGGAAGAAGAGACCTTAAGAAATGACACAGGTTTAGTTCTGGGAGTTTCCTTCCTGCCTGGCACTTACCCCAGGCAGAGCACTGCCGAAACTTCCAACCTGGGATTGACAGCACGCACAGATGAAAAAGAGCTCTAGAAAAGCCTGTTCCCACTCGCCGAAGGCTTGTCTAACCACAGGCAACCTTTCTGGCAATGCGTTCCCTACTCCGACCAAATGCTAACAGAAAAAAATACCTCCGTGGTTTCAGTGGGACCAAGCAGGGAATGGATCTGCCAATATTGATACATTATTATTAAGTGAAGTCCATTCTTTATTCAGTTACCTTCATTCTTATAATGGAAATGGTTTGCATCTTGACTGAATCAGTGCCAACATTCTGGTCATGATATTGCACTAGAGTTTTGCACCTCTACTAGTGAAAGAAATGGGGTAAAGGGCGTACATTCTGCATGTATTCTTTCTTACAACCACCTGTGAATCTACAAGTATCTCGAATAAGTTTAAACCAAAAAAAGAAGCCACATGTGCTTCTTCCTCACAATAGAGAGGCAAGGACAATCTTTTTGAGGTAACCAAGCTGCATGTCATTCCTGAGTCGGGATGGGTGATCAGTGACGGTCTTTCAGCCTCTCCTACCCCAGCATTCTAGTCAGGGGTGGAAAAATTAAATAGGGCAATTGTTTTCTCTGACTTGCTTTTACTTGCAGTGAAATCAACCTTAGACAGTTTGCAAAAACATCAGACAAGCTTAGAAATGTGACAGGGTCTAAGGAGAGAATTCCATTCAATTTTTGGCAAATGCAGAAATGTGGCCAATGACACAGCAGCATTAACTACTCAGCTGATGGCCGGGTGTGGTGGCTCAGCTTGTAATCCTAACATTTTAGGAAGCTGAAGCAGGAGGATTGCTTGAGTCCAGGAGTTTGAGACCAGCCTGGGCAACATAGTGGGACTCTGTCTCTACAAAAAACTTAAGAAAAAGTTAGCCAAGCATGGTGGCATGCACCTGTAGTCCTAGATACTTGGGATGCTAAAGCAGGAGGCTCGCTTGAGCCCAGGAGTTCGAGGCTGCAGTGAATTATTAGGGCACACAGTCCAGCCTGGGCAGCAGAGTGAGACGTTGTCTCTTGAAAAAAAACAAAAGAAAACAAACAAACAAGCAAAAATACCCAGCTGCTCCTTGGCCAGCCCTGATGTGTAACAGTTACCTCCCTAAATGGAGCTCACATCTGTGGCCCGAATGGGCCTAGGTTGTCATGTTGCTCCGAGGCATCCCATGTTGGTGTGGAACTATCCCATCCTCCGGACCTCAGCTTCTTGCCTGCGTCAAACAGAAAAACGATTGTGTTTATCGTAACTTCAGTCATAATAATGTTTTGTGGAGTGTATTTCATCAATGTAGAATGAATTGTTGCCAGATCATGAAAGAGGGTTAAAGTTATATTGCTTTCTCGTTTGTTTTTTTCTTAGTCGTGGTTCATCAGAATGTATTAAGATTCAGAACCAAAGGTTATATGAAATTGGAGGAAATATAGGTAAGCATTCTGTGATAACTTCTAAATTCTCTGGTTACTCTAAAACAAATGTTTCTGTTACTATAATATATATTTTACACATTTCTCAGATAAATCAAAATTGATGTTACTGATTTTTTTTAATCTCCTATAAGAACAGTTGCATGACTTTTCTAAAATATTTTCGAAGTTTAAATGAGAATGTTTTACTGTTGTCATAGAGTAGACTCTGGGGCCTTTTCAATGTGACCCTTAACGTTGGAAAGCATCTTCCTAGAGACACATCTTCCTAGAGACACATCTTCCTAGAGACACATCTTCCTAGAGACACATCTTCCTAGAGACACACGCAAAACAAAGGCGACGACGTAATGAGAACTTTCAGAAGCACGCCAGCCTTTTTGTTTAACTTGCCTATGTCACTGTCATCCCAAGTTCATTCCTCCTATTTCCCTGGGTGGGGGTGGGGGGGGAATCAAAGACAGTTCTTCCCCCTCACATCTGTGGACGCCCCACACACTCCCTTGCTCCTGCCAGGGGCCCAGCCCCCCACCCCCCCGTGCCTCTCCCGCCTGGGCAGGGCCTTGCTCCGTTGGCCCCGCCACCCCCTCCAACCTCGCCAACCTTCCCCTCCCAACTGCAGAATTTTCTTCTGCATAAAAAATTCTGGTAATTTCCCTGATCTTTACAAAACTTACTCTTGATACCCTTCCAGTCTACTTTCATTTCTGTTCCACTCTGAAGCAAAACGTCCTCGAATCAGTTGTCTACGCTGCACTTTCTTCCTTGCCTTTCTCTCTAATCCACTCCAGTCACGCTTTACCCCTCGGCACTCGGCCGGAATCGCTCTCTTGTCGAGGTGACCAGACGACTCCGGGTTGTGTGGTCCGATCGCTCAAGTCTGTCCTGAGGTCTGCCGAGGCGGTCTTTCCCTTCTTTGAGACACGCTGTCTCCTCCCCAATTTCGAGGACATCCCAAGCTTCCACCTTTGCTTCCGCTTCACTGGCTGCTCCATGGGAGTCCCCTGTGCCCATTACCTCCCGTCCTCGTCCTCGCAGCCTCTCATGGTTGAGAGCTGCAGCGTCCGGTCCTCGTAACTCTTACTGTTCACACTGAACTTCCTGGGTGGGCTCAGTCCAACTCAGTCCATCTCACGGCTCTGACCAAATACACCTGTGTGCAGGTGCCGCTCAAACTTGTGTGCCGGCCTTCCCTGCAGACGCCACACCTGCACGTCCAGGCACCAGCCACGGTGGGCCTCGGGGCCTTGGCATTTGCTCTTTCTCCCAGCATGCTCTGCCTCCCTCGCCTCTGCCAGGTCTTTCCATGGGTCACCTGCTCAAGTGAGACCTTCCCGACTCACACCCTCCTTCATGTACCTTCCATGATTTGCTTTTTTGTAATGTTCTTATCACCATTGAACTTACTTTAATTATACTCAATTTATGTGTTAGTTGCCTTTTGCCACTGTAGAATGTTTTTGACTGTCTGACACATTGCTGTATCCCCAGCCCTAGAATAGTGCCTGGCACATAATAACTTACAATAAATACTGGCTAAATTAATGAATCAAGCAAGCTAAGTGCACAAGCAAATCTCAGTAGTTGTGTTTGAGACTTTAGCATAGATTTCAAGCGCACTTGTACATAAAGCCTTTCAAGTATACTTGTCCCACGGAATGACTTTTTGTTGTTATCATTTCTGGATCTCTTGCCCTTAGGTAGGTATTGCATCCATAGTAAAGAAACAAAATGACCATTCCTAAAATAAACTTGACTTGGATCTTCTCTAGCCCCTGTCAAGTTCATGTCTGTAAAACCATTGGAGGACATGTGTTAGTTTATATCTGAAACAAGTTCTTGCCCTAGTTTTCTAATTGACGTGGAGAAGCTAGGAAACAGTGTGCCTATGGTTGATATGTCTGGGGTTTTTTGGGTTTTTTTCACATTACAATGAGATTTATTTGAAGTACTTGTACTTCACAGGCTTAAAGAAAGAAAGAGGAGGAAAGGAAGGGAGGAAGGATGGAAGGGAGTAGGGGAGGAAGGCCTATTAAGAGTACAATATACACTATTCTGGTGCTGGGTACCCTGAAAACCCTGACATGATACAATTTATCCACAGAACAAAAAAACACTTGTACTTCCTAAATTTTTTGAAATAAAAAATATTAAAGAAACTTTAAAATGTATCTACTTGCTTTTGGCTGACAGAACTATATTGGCCTTATTTGAACCTTATGACACACACACACGTGTGCTCATGCACAAACATACAGAGAAATGTACATTACTAAAAATATTAATTTTATCTTTTTTTTTTAGGACAGCATTGCTTGGATCCAGATGCTTACATATTGGATGTATATCATGCAAATCCTCAGGCAGAATGGGTGATTAAGCCCCAAGCAAGTCCTTGAAGTGCCCTCAAGATGGCTGCCATCGTGTATCACACGCCACGAGGACCCTGCGTTCAGTGGAGAAAACAACGCTGCTTGGCCGTGGCTGTCCCCACAGCCCTCTCAGTGTTTTCGGCCGAGTGACAGGCATTGCGAATGCGAACTGTGGAATAGGAGCACCACGGTTCACCATTTCAACTGAAATTTCCTCATGACATTTCTTTGATCTAAGTAAAGGAAAGAAGATTTGGTCCTTCCAGAAGAAAGGCCAGTCTAGAACGTGAAACTCTATAATCACTTTTAGTATTTTGACTTCATAGCAGAAAAGAACTTGCCTTCCCTGTATGTGGGGATAAGCAACACTTGTTTATGTAGCCAATGCTACTGGACACAAGAGATGAAAGAGACCCTTTTTTATGCTTATGTTATATACATGTATTGACCTTTTTGAGCAAGAATGCCAAAAATAGCCTTAATTTCTCCTCTGCAAAATAATCCAGATCTGCCTTCCAAAGAGAATCAGTTCTAAAGTGAAACAGACAATATTTATGCTCTCATTCCTGCATTGGAGGAGGAAGAACTTCTATTTGAAGAAACCTGTATTGTAACGGACATCGTACTGTGCTATATGACCATCAGCATTCTGGTGCAAATGAACTTGCCTCTATCATTGACTATTGAAAATTGATATTTTAAAAACTTATTCTCTTCTGAGCACAGGTCCCTCTAGTGAAGCTTAGCTTGACAAAGTATGCCTTACAGTTTCCTAGCCTTTGTAGTCAATGTTCACAGAGCTTCTATTTTCTTGTTATGGCTGTGGTGCTCAATGAATATCTTTCCATATGCACAGATTTCCTTTTCTGTCAAACATATCATTTTTTATATTTCACGCTGTAGATGGTCACTTCCACAACCCCAATTTAACAATGCAGAACTGCTGAGAAACACTATTGTATCCAAGATTTATAAGCTGTAAAAGCAGATTTTACTTCTGTCCATGGCCAGCCACTGTGGGTTAGCATCAAGCTTTAAAATCAGAGGCATGTTTGATAAGTTGAAGACTGCCTCACTCTCAAAATCTTGCAGAGCCATTTTCCCGACTTGCAATGGCCAGAACACGTAGTGCTTGCATTTCTAATTTAGAGCAAATCCGAAATGTGCTGAGGGATTGGACAGCTCTGCCTTTCATTTTGAGAATACAGATATAGTCCTAGGGTTGGCTAGAAATGGATACAGAGTTCTCATTTATCCCAGGTATATACTTTGGCTTGGAATCCACAGATAGAGACGTTGATAAATTTATCACTTTTAATGAGATTCAAGGCCCAAATGATTTTCTTGCAATACAAACAATAGAGAAAGTTGCTCAAAAATGCAGAAAACATTTTTTGTCTACTTACCAAATCTCAAAACACAATGTGATAATATTTTAAGCCCATATGTAGAAGAAATCTTTCATATGCTACATTATGCCTTGATGTCTATACAAAACATTGCTTACATTCAACATGTAGATAATTGTGTTTTCTGGCCTCTAGAATTTTGTTATATTTTTTATAAAAAACACAAAGATCCATTCATTGGATTTGTTTATTTGATATTTTTTATTTCCTTTGCCTGAAAACTCATTGAAAGGTTTATATTTATTCCTACATTTCATCAGTTTTTGATATATGGGTTATTGGTGGCATATGAGTTTACATAATGAATTTCCAGTCTGAAAAGAATGATTTTACCATTTTTGCAATTTAAACAACAGAAGTAAACATTTTACTTTATGTAGTTGCCAATCCCATATGATGGCAGTAATTTATGCCCACATATGGAAGAAATTCTTCAAATAGCCACTTTACACTTCTATGTATATATGATTTTCTGATTTTCTCATTATATTTCCACTCAAATAGTTAAATTCTGTTGTTCATATCGAAATTTCATAGATCTGTTCATTTACTTTTTTATTTGGGAATTTTTATTTCTATTGATACATTAGAACCTATGCATAAGTTCTGAAGGTTTTAAGATTTACTCCAACCTGTCCCAGTTTCAAATAAATACCTATAGGTGACAGGTAAAATACAGTTTCTTCTCTACTTTTGTGTGGTTTTCAATGGCAAAGACTTAGCTGAGTCAATAACTACAATCCCTTCGGTTTATTCAGGAATGTGTGACAACTTTCAAATAGCTTTATAATATGGAAGGCCATATCAATACCAATATCATTGGGTATAACTACTGTTCTTAATCATAGGGCTAATTAGTTAGAGAAAAATTTTAATAGACACACAGACTCATTAGTGTGTTTACAGAGGCTATATTTACTAATTTTATTCTCAGGAATAAACCCCCACAATAAAAAATTTTAAATGCTTGTCACCTAAATATTGAAAAAATTTTTGCTTTAGCAAGAGTTTCTTAAAAATTCAATAATCCATAAAAATGAATCATACATTTTCAAACAGGACAAATACTGTACTTCTACATGCTTCTTAGAGCTTCTCACCCTTCCATCTCTAGTGCTTTTGGTATACAACTGGGAAAATAGTACCTGCCAGGGAAGTATTAGAGGAAGCTAATATTCTAGGAACACTTATTCTGAAAAAGTCATAGAGCTGGCTCTGTTTTTCCTGCATTGTGCAAAAGAGGACTTCTTTGTTAAGTAGCTCACTTGGGAATATGATTCTTAGAGTCATCGCTCTTAGAACAAACTGGAATATCAATTCTTTACAATGTATACACAGTATAAACTACCTCACTTGCCTTTCTTGGTAAAGAAAATTAATGGACTTTAACAATTTTTGTTACAAATTGTCCCTGAGTCTTATTATTTAAGTCATTTCAGTTAGCTTTCAATGTACATTTAATAATATACATTTAATGATGTAAAATATTTTTAGCAACAGCTTTAAAACCAAAAATACTCCACAACTGTGATCTGTGGTATATTCGGATAGAATATCATTGTCTTAGTCATTGTCTTGTGTTTTAACCATGTGGAGATGCAGGATTTTAGGAGCAGGAATTAATATCATTTCTTTGGTGGCATTTTCCACTGCTATCCATGTATTTCACTTGACTGGAAAGTATAATAAAGTGAGATTAAAATGTTTCTTCTTTCTAGCAAGCATATTTCAACTATTCTTCACAAATGCTTTCCTTGCCTTAAAAGACTATATTTTATGGGATTAAATTGTTCCTCTGACAGGCAGTTTTCAACTGTTTTCCATAAATATGTCACTTAATAGAAAATAATATGACATGGGATTAAAATGTTTTTTTAAACATTTTCAACGTTTTACACACTTAATTTAAAATTTAACATTTTAGGCATTTTCCAACTACTTCCTTATCTAATTTGATTAAAAAATCATATGTCACTGGAAAATGCCAATGTTTTATCCCATCTCAGAATATTGATTCTTCTATCCCATCAGCTTGTATTGTTAAGTAGAATATGTATGTTGCATTTTATCCATAAAAATAAAGAGGAAAAAACCTAAGAACATGTGTGAGAATTATTCTGTTTGACCAGTCTGGGGACAAAGTTGAAGTTGTGTATATGAGCCAGTCTTTGCCACTTGGGGACCAGATGGTAGTCTTGTGCAAAAGCCACGTGGCGCTATAGTGATGGTGGATGGTTGTGGGTAAAGGATAGATTGAAAAAGCAAAGACTGTTTTCCTAAATTTGTTTGAGTTGTTGCCTTGGGAAGGTTTTTAGTACATGCTTTAGAAAATATACATAAATAAAAAATCTTTTAAATAAATACAGAAAAGACATTTAACAAAATTCAATACCCCTAATGTTTTTTATAAAATTAATATGTTATTGTATATTTTGTGTAAAAAGCAAGAATTAGAAATAAAATGCCTGAAGATTAGAAAAGAAAAAGTAAAACCATTTCTATTTGTGAATGATATGATTATATTTATATAGAAAAGCCTAAGGTATCTCAATTTAGTGAGGTCATGGCAACAACATGAGTGAATCTCAGAAACGCTGAGTGAAAGACGCCAGACAAAAACAGCATAGGCCGGGCGCGGTGGCTCACGCCTGTAATCCTAGCTCTTGGGAGGCCGAGGCGGGCGGATTGCTCAAGCCTAGGAGTTTGAGGTTGCTGTGAGCTAGGCTGACGCCACGGTACTCACTCTAGCCTGGACAAAAAAGTGAGACTCTGTCTCAAAAAAAAAAACAAAAAACAAACAAACAAAAAAAAAAAAAACAGCACATACTGTACTATTCCATCTCTATGAGAAGCTAGGACAGGAAAAGCTAAACAATGATGAGAGGGGGAGCCAGAACAGCAGGTGCTTCTGTGCGGTGTTTTGGTGACTGACTGGAAGGTGCTCAAGGGACCTTTCTGGGGATTGGAAATATTCTATGTCTGCACTGTCCAGTACAGGTCCATGGGCCACATGAGTCTGTTAAGCATTTGAAATATGACTAGTCTGAGTTAAGATGTGTCCTATGTATAAAACGCACACCAGATTTTGAAGACTTAATAAGGAAAAAAGGGTATAAAATGTCTCATTAGTAATATTTTAATATTGATCATGTGTTATATTTGAGAAAATTGGCTTAGCTAAAAAATTAGCAAAATAAATTGTAGCAATTTCCTTTTTTTAAAATGTGGCTACTAGAAGATTTATAAATGTGGTTTGCTTTATTTTTTATGGGAAAGTACTGCTCTATATTTTGGTAGGTGTTTGGGTTATACAGATGTATGCATTTGTCAAAACTCAGTGAATCATCCTATGGAACTGAATAGGAAACCCAGAAATAAATCCACACATTTACAGGCAACTCATTTTTGACAAAAGTGCCAAGAATATACACTGGTAAAAGGACACCCTCTTCAATGAGTGGTGCTGTGAAAACTAGATATCCATGTGCAGAAGAATGAAACTAGACCCCATCTTTTACCACATATAATAATCAAATCAAAATGGATTAAAAATTTAAATTGGCCAGGTGTGGTGGCTCACATCTCTAATCCTAGCACTCTGGGAGGCCGAGGTGGGTGGATCGTTTGAGCTCAGGAGTTTAAGACCAGCCTGAGCAAGAGTGAGACCCTGTCTCTACTAAAAAAATAGAAAT